CCAAGGCAGCAGAAGGTGCTTTGACAAAGGGGAAAAGGCAAACATTCTTAAAAGGGATTCCCCATATAGCTGCTTCCATCTTCAGAAACACTTGTAAAACGGTTAATGTCTGTCGGTCACACAGACACAAATACACCCACCTCATGCACCTAGCGCAGACATGCTCAAGAATTGAAAGCATTAGGAAGGGGTCGGATAAATCCCTGTACAGCTGCTTGCTTATGACAGCAGCTTTGAGTTACACACTGATTTTTCAAAAGCACATGTGCAAAAATTAAAAGAACTCAAACTTTAATGCCTCTCTCCCCGCCCCTTTCTTCTGTCTGTTCTTTTGATGCCTGGGGATGTAACATGCTTCTCTCTCAACTGCTGAGCTATCAGAGTGCTTTATATAATTTACAAGCATTATTCATAATAGCCAAATGCAAAAACTGGAAGTAGGACAGACTGTGCTTCAGTCTCCCCCCCACCCATCCCACTTTTCCTTTCATTAACTTCAAACCTGACTGTTACAGTGCATTTTTCCAGTAGGTGATATAAAGCAGGTCCATTCTCTACATTTTTTATATGACTAATTCTTTTGAACTCTGGTATGAATCATTGGTTTTTGATGGGAAATCAGGACCTTTGCAAGCCTAGATGACACCTGCACAGGGGCTCAAACTCAAAAAATCTGTTTGAATGGAATCAACCTGAACTGGCAGACAGGCTGATTAAACAATACATGCTAAGTGGATCAGGAAGGAGCAATTCTTAGTGATAGTCTACCATTAGATCGGTATAATCTCCACTAATGACTGCCATCCACTACCATCGACTGTGGGGAGGACTGTAGGGCCTGCTCCCTTCTAGGGCCTTTTCCAACTGGCCCAGGGGGCATGGCCCAGGCCCTTATTTGGAACAAACTTTTGGGGAAGTGTGGGAAGTGTTCTGCCATTGCTTCCCTGTTCCAGGTGGTTAATGTGCTTTCAAATGTCCTCAAGCAGTTGGTGGCAATTTAAATTTTTATTTCTTTTTTTCCTTTTTTCCTTTGTTGGGGGTGGGTGGGTGGGATGGATATTTGGTTGGGGATTAATTTTAGTATAATTGTTCTGTTCCTTTTTTTGTTGTTGTTTTATTGGTTCTGTATAGTTTGTGGGGGTTTTTTAAGGGGTGGGATCAGGGCTGCCTGGGAGTGGGGCCCCAGCCAACACAATGGCTGGGACAAGTTCCACAGGGGGGGAAGCACTGGGACATCCGATCTCGGTGATCATGGGCAGGAGGCGGAGTTACGCTAAGACCAGACCATGTCATTACCGAGGAGGCAGGTTTAGTCGTTGTTTGAAGACTATCCCTGCCTCCGGGTCTGGCCTTGACCGGATGGATACTGGAATCAACAGGGGAAACCCACATGACCTGAAGGTGTTGCTGTGTAATGCCAGGTCAATGATGAATAAAACCACTGCCATCCACGACCCGATTGTGGATGGAGGATTTGACCTGGCATGTGTGACAGAGACCTGGTTGGAGGAAGCAGATGGGCCTGTCCTTGCCGCTGCTTGCCCACCAGGTTTCTCTTACGCACAGCAACCCAGGTCATGTGGGCGGGGAGGGGGGGTTGCAGTGATTTTTAGGAAGTCACTAGCTTGCACCAGACGTCCTACTGGGAAGATCCAGTTTTCTGAGTGCATGTTCTGGAAGTTGGGCAATAGGGGCAGTACAGGATTCCTTTTGGTGTACTGACCTCCCTGCTGCACCAAGGATTCCCTGTCCGAGCTGCTTCAGGTCATGGCGGATTTTCTCCTGGAGACACCTAGTTTGGTTGTCCTAGGGGATTTTAACATCCATGCCGACACGACCTTACAAGGGGCCGCTCGGGACTTCGTGGAAAGCATGGCCTCCATGGGGCTGTCCCTGAATAGGTTTGGCCCAACTCATAGTCATGGACATGCCTTAGACCTGGTGTTCACCTCTAGTGACGTGGGTGATCTGACACTAAGTAAAAGTGAAACAAAAGAAGTGCCATGGTCAGATCACTTCCTGGTGCAACTGGACTTCTCCGCGACCCTTCCCCTCTGCAGGGAGGTGGGACCAACTCGGATGGCCCGCCCCCGCCACTTAATGGATCCAAATGGTTTCCAGAGAGTGGTAGGGGATGCTTTATCCCATGCTGATGGCCTTTCAGCTGATTCCCTGGTGGCCCGCTGGAATGCGGAGTTAACCAGGGCTATCGACTGTCTGGCTCCAAAGCGCCCTCTCCAATTGCATGGAGCCCGGACAGCCCCGTGGTTTTCTTTGGAGCTGAGGGCGATGAAACAATCGCTGAGACGGCTAGAGCGTCGGTGGCAGAAAACTCACTCCGAATCTGACCGGACACAGGTTAGAGCTCAATGTCGAGCCTACCAAGTGGCGATAGCGACGGCGAAGAAGACTTTCTTCTATTGCATCTGCAGAAAATAGTAGCAGGAGACTCTTTCAGGTGGTTTGCAATTTAACGGAACCACGTGTACCACTGGGGCCTTGTAAAGACCCCAAGATCTCCTGCAACGATTTTGCAAAGTTTTTTGCAGATAAAATCACTCATATTCGGAAGGAGCTAGACACCACTGTGGGAGCAGGGCTGGGGCGGGAGAGTGCTAGAGCCCTGTCTGGTCAAGTTGCATGGAATCAATTTCAATCCGTTACCCCCGAGGATGTGGACAGGCTGCTTGGACGCGTGAAACCAACCACCTGTCTTCTTGATCCTTGCCCATCCTGGCTAATAAAAGCAAGCCGGGAAGGGCTGGGCGATGGGCTCTGCGGGGTGGTGAATGCTTCCCTCTGTGAGGGAACATTCCCAGACCCGCTGAAAGAGGCGGTCATTAAATCGCTTCTTAAAAAACCATCTTTAGACCCGGCCAGTATGGCCAACTATTGCCCAGTCTCAAATCTTCCATTCTTGGGCAAGGTGATTGAGCGCGTGGTTGCTGAACAACTCCAGGCACGCCTGGAGGATGCGGACCATTTGGATCCCTTACAATCGGGATTCAGGCCTCATCATGGGACTGAAACTGCCTTGGTCGTGCTGGTTGATGATCTCCGGCGAGCCAGGGACAAAGGTGAGAGTTGTTTCCTGGTTCTGTTGGATCTCTCAGCGGCCTTTGATACAATTGACCATAACATCCTTCTGGACCGTCTAGAGGGGCTGGGAGCTGGGGGCACTGTTATACAGTGATTTCGCTCCTTCCTCCTGGGCCGTGTTCAGAAAGTGGTGGTGGGGGATGAGTGTTCAGACCCCTGGGCCCTCACTTGTGGGGTGCCTCAGGGTTCCATCCTCTCCCCCATGCTTTTTAACATCTATATGAAGCCGCTGGGAGAGATCATCAGGGGGTTTGGACTGGGTGTCCATCAATATGCAGATGATACCCAGCTCTACCTCTCTTTCAAATCAGAACCAGTGAAGGTGGTGAAGGTACTGTGTGAGTGCCTGGAGGCGGTTGGAGGATGGATGGCGGCTAATGGATTGAAGTTGAATCCTGACAAGACAGAAGTACTGTTTTTGGGGGACAGGGGGCAGGCTGGTGTGGAGGACTCCCTGGTCCTGAATAGGGTAACTGTGCCCCTGAAGGACCAGGTGCGCAGCCTGGGAGTCATTTTGGACTCCTAGCTGTCCATGGAGGCGCAGGTCAATTCTGTATCCAGGGCAGCTGTCTACCAACTCCACTTGGTATGCAGGCTGAGACCCTACCTGCCCGCGGACTGTCTCGCCAGAGTGGTGCATGCTCTAGTTATCTCCCGCTTGGACTACTGCAATGCGCTCTACGTGGGGCTACCTTTGAAGGTGACTCGGAAACTACAACTAATCCAGAATGCGGCAGCTAGACTGGTGACTGGGGGCGGCCGCCGAGACCACATAACACCGGTCTTGAATGTAGGTCTCTACATTGGCTCCCAGTACGTTTCCGAGCACAAGTCAAAGTGCTGGTGTTGACCTTTAAAACCCTAAACGGCCTCGGCCCAGTATACCTGAAGGAGCGTCTCCACCCCCATCGTTCTGCCTGGACGCTGAGGTCCAGCGGCGAGGGCCTTCTGGCAGTTCCCTCATTGCGAGAAGCAAAGCTACAGGGAACCAGGCAGAGAGCCTTCTCGGTAGTGGCGCCCGCCCTGTGGAACGCCCTTCCAGCAGATGTCAAAGCGATAAATAACTACCTGACATTCAGAAGACATCTTAAGGCAGCCCTGTTCAGGGAAGTTTTTAATCTGTGATATTTTAGTGTATTTTTGGTTTCTATGGAAGCCGCCCAGAGTGGCTGGGGAAACCCAGCCAGATGGGCGGGGTACAAATAATAATAATAATAATAATAATAATAATAATAATAATTTATTAAGATTAAAGGGTTACAGAAAGATTGTTAACTAAAGAACACAGAGCTTTCAATAGGATGAGCATGACCTTCTGGATCCCATGCTCTTCTCAAACAAAGCACAGAAGGAATATTAGCAATCCTGCAGAGAAGGACTTTGCTAATAAAGGGCTGAACACACTGGAAATGTGAGCTTGTAATGAGAATATAATACCACAGCAAGAACTTTGCACAATTCTGAGTAATGTGTAGATGTATAATTATTATGTATTACATTTATAGCTTACCTATCTTTCAAAGAGCTCAAATGTTGTACTTGGTCCCCCTCCAAATTTTATCTTCACAACAACCCTGTGAGGTAAGGCTAGGTGGCTCACCTAACTGACTAGTGGATCGGATAATAACTAACCTAAGGTGTCCTGGCAAGCTTCATGACTGTGTGGAAATTCACACTCAAGTATCCAGTCACCACCAGGGAGAATGGGAACTCTAGAATCAATAGGAATTTATTCAGAGAACAATAAAAACCAAAGTACTTAAGAACATAACAGAAACCTTGCTGGGTTAAACCATAGATTCATCCAGGAATCCACACTGTTTCCCACAATAGCCAACCAGATGTTCATCAGAAGCCGGCAAGAAAGACATAAAGGCAATAGCACTCTTCTACACTCACTTCCCAGCAGTTAGTATTCAGAGGCCTCTACTTAATGTTTCAGAAGCAAGGATGCTATAAAGAAACAGAGGCAGAAGGTATAAGTATGCAATACCATAAAATAAATCATAGTTTGCGTATTGGGTCCAACTCCCAATTTTGGTAGCTAAAGCTTGCATCTGCTCTCTGGCATCAGGAGGGCACCGTACATACATGGCTCTCAGTCCCCTCTGATTTTCAGGAGAGAGGTGGCAGTTTTTTTGAGATCGTATTTTCCTGTAAGCTTTAGGACTCCTTCCCATCTATAGGAACCTTCTCCAGCCCTGTCACTTATTTCATTTTGTCACCTGAATGCTAAGACTCTCTATTTGAAAATATGGGGAGTGAGTGATCATGCAAACATTAGGCTTCTGGAATTGCATATTATTATATTAAGGACGAACAGTGTAAAAACAAACCAATGGTGTTATAAGCTATATACCACAGTAACTATACAGACTTGAATGTCAGTCATTCAACATCACAACTGAGGGCTATTTTGGATGTCAAAGTAGGTGGGGAGGGGAAGAGAAAGTGCAATCTGCCATGTCTGAAGTGAACTTTTGCATTGCCCCACACCCCCACATACAAGCTGTCTCCCCATTTGAAATTTGCACATCACCCCAAAGGTCACGTCTCTTGGCACTGCTCCGTAAGGCAGTTTAATAGATGCCAGTGCCTATCATATAGGCGCAAACAATTAAACAAGAAAGAGTAATTACAATATTGTGAACTGCCATAAAGATGAAAAATGTCTTTGGGTGTGTTCAGACTGCTGGGATTCTGCATGGTTTGAGAAAACTGCATGGAGCGTGTAAGGTATATGGCAGCCATAGGCAACCTCGGCCTGCCAGATGTTTTGGAACTACAACTCCCATGATCCCTAGCTAACAGGACTAATGGTCAGGGATGGTGGGAATTGTAGTCCCAAAATATTTGGTGGGCCGAGGTTGCCTATGCCTGGTATATAGAATTTACAATGATCAATTGCCACATCTTCGTAGCATATGGGATAGGAGGTAGGTTATACAAAAACTTCTACCTCTCTTTTTTAGAAAAAGAAAATCATGTATTTAGTATTAATAGGAATAATATTAGTTAAGTGGGAGTCATGTTACCAATATATCAATTTAATAATCAGGTCCAGAATGAGTCCATGTTTGATATTATACTTATGGATTCACAGGTCTTAAGATTGCTTATCCAAAGTTGTCCAGGGATAATTGGTGACTGAATCCATGCTCTGGCATATTTGCATGAGTAATGAAGCAATACTAACCAGCTTGAAAGTTGTCTGATGCACAAGTTTTTCCATCAATGCCATTTTCCATACTTCCTGGTACCAATTATCCAGAAAGGAATTATTGCAAGACCTTCAATTTTAGCAGTCTAGCTGCTATCAGTAAGAATGTTACGAGTTTTTTGTGCACAGCCCCTCAAATATATGTAATAATGCCAAGTGTGGGTCTGGAAGCAAGGACTGATTACCAATTGTACCATGGAAAACTCCTCCTCATGATGTTGCAATTCTCTCACATTATCACCACATAAGGAAAAATGTTCCTCAGTTCTCACTTTGCCTCCAACATGATGGAGAAACCGTGTTAGTCATTCTATTTTGTATGTGAGGAATAAGGTACCAGCGAAATGCCATCTTTAAAGAGTTCTCTCTGACTCTAGCAGAAATTGTTTCAACAGTGCTTTGCTTCAAATCCTTTTCCACTTAACCTTGCCAATTTCCAGAGTTAATGTTCCCCAATTCTTTTAAGTCTGTCATGTGCTCCCAATGTTTGAGCTAATAAATTTCTCTAGATATTTGACAGTATGCCTTTTCTCCAATTTGTGGTTTGGTTTATTAAATTCTCAAATATCATGAGAGGTGTAGTGACTTGACTCACAATTATGAACATTGTTACGAAACGTTCCTCCTGGTGGAGTTGCTTTCTAATTGATTTTGTAATTGTTGTCCTGATTTGGGTCTGATTCCCTGACTCCTGCAGTTCAAAATATTATCTAAGGTCCAATTCCTGTGCAACTTGGCATCCAGAATCTCAGGTTGGGAGATTGAGGTGTAGCTAACTTAAATCATTTATCTTTAGGGGAAGAGGAGAGTTGGTGGGATGATGTCATCACCTCCTCAACAACTTCAACCTTATTAAAAAGATAAAAAATCTTCCAATGACTGGTGTGAACAGAGCTCTCCCACTATTCCTTTCCTAGCATAGTACAAAGGTGGATGTGTACATTCAAGGTATGTAGATATCTTTAGCAAATGTACAGTATAACACTAAGCATGTTTACTTGAAAGTAAATGCCAGTGAGTTCAACGTGGTTTACTCTCAGTAAGTGTCTTTAGGATTGCAATCTTACATTAATTTGTTCCTTTAATTTTTCAACAGAAGATAAATTCAATTTCCCTCCAGGTCTGGAACCAGGTCACTTCGCATGTCCATATCAAAATCCCCACCCACCCCCCCAGTTCTGGCAAAGCACATCAAACTGATTTGCATTTATAGCAATAAATGAATGCTACTGCACAAATTCAGTGTGTTATTTTAGGGAAATAAATTAAAATAAATAAATCTCAATCCTGCAATTCCAAGAGGATTCAATCCATGTGTACATACAATATGTAGAGGTGCGTTTAGCAATGATAATCACTAAAACAACAGTGCTGAACACACCAGTAGTGTCTTGTCTTTCAAACTCTCTTTACTATTTCAGATTCAGATTCTGTTATATTCTCTGCTAGAAGCTTGACACAAATCATATGTCACTTTATCTTATTAGCTGAAGGGCTGTACTGTCACAGATTATTTTTGCATGTTCTTTCATTTACTCTTTAAAACCAAAGGGAAGTTGTCTAAGACTTTAGGCAATGCAGAAGGCAGTGCTAGGCAGTCATCATCCCTAAAACCTCTTCTAAGCACATGTTTATTCTATTGATTTTATTTATCTCTTTGTAGATATCTACAAAGATATGATTTGTTCAGAAAGCTGCTATTCTGGATGATATCTATGTATGGGAATTCAGTCACTCCATTTGCCATGGAAGCCTCCTATTTGTTCAGATTTCCAACAGACTGAACTACGCAGACTGTAGTATGCATTGCAAATGTATTCCTCTAGAAACAGTAGGAGTATGGCTGCCTACCTTAAATAACGATATTTTCCTGGTAAACAGTTTCTGCTGCTTTCCCCACAAAAATGAATATGGCTTTGCCTACTGATATAATAATAATAATTTACTATTTATACCCCGCCCAAGCCAGAATACCTATGACATGTATTACCCACTCATTTGCTCCCATTCTGCTATTTGAATATCCAACAAAGACATTAGCCCTACATATGTACTCACCACGAGCAACGTCTTCCTCTTAATGCTCCAATATTTTTGTTTAGATGACATGTTATTAAATTCCCTTTAAAGAACCATAATTTTTCTATTTTTGAATAACCTGGACAACATGTCCATGCTGGGGTCAGCTCTTATCTAAATTGTTCTAATCTCCACATTTCTGGCTTTCGCTCCTGCACATCTTCCATTATTATTATTATTATTATTATTATTATTATTATTATTTTGTTTCAGGTTGTCATCCCATTGCTATGTTCACATTCCTCTCTCTTTACACTTCCACATAACTCCTTCTATAACCCTCCAGTCCCTATTTGCAAAGCTGCTCCACATCTCTGTCCGCATACCATGCCTCACATCTCTCCTTATTTCCCCTGCACTCTTTCAACATCCCAACAAGATTAGCTGCTATTGGTGTGCTTTTTATTCCACTGTGAATCTTGCCATGACACTTTCAGCGACTGTATCATATCCCCTCTCTTTTTCATCAAGTCACTTCCTTCCCTCCTCAAGACTAGCTTCATCACTATGTGTTTCTAGAAACAGCTTAACCTTACCTTGTACTCCAAATTCTTCCTTACCTCATTTCTAGTTCTCTGTCAAACCATGACCTCTCTGTGTATCCCTGCCAGCCAGTTTAATATAGACTATAAGTGCTCTGGGAAGGGACTGTATCAGCACTGCTAACTAAATATTAAATCAATCAGAGCTGGGACACATCTATTTTTTCTTCGATTAATTTTCTATAATAGTTAGTTATGCAAAATTAATAAACAACAATAATGACAGACCTTTTGCCATATATATTAAGAGAGGCATTGCCTCCCATTGGCTGAATAGTGATACACCATGGAGGGAGCTGCGGAGCTATCATGGATTCTCTCTCCAGGGGAAAGGGGTTAGGAAAGCAACCCTGAAATAGGTCTGCTTCTACTGCTTGAAATGGTCTCCCCAGAGATCTGAATAACAGCCAACTTTCTAGCTGTACACAAGAAGCTGTCTAGGGAGGGAGGTTGTGAAATCTCCTTTGGGGCTTGAATATGCATCTGCTGGGGATTTTTCTGCTGTACAGAATATTAGGGCAGGGAGACTTAGATGGCACAATTTCTTTCACACACGCAGCAAACTATGTAACACTGCATATATCTCCACAACTGTTCCTCCTTCCGCAGGAAAAGACTGCAACCTTGGCATATATGCACATGTACAGTAGGATCACAACTTGTGCTGATTTAACTTGTGCGACTGCAACCTGACGCGCCTGGTGGCTGGCCAGCTGATATCACACTAATATTAAATGTATGCAAGTCGGAGAGTTCCTTGCCTTGCTTACTGGGCTTGGGAAGGTCTCCTGTGGGTTCTGGAGGCCTTCACAAAATCTTGGAAGCCCTTGCAAGATCTCGTGCAGGCTTTGGAAGGTAAAATTGCTTGTGCTGGGGTGGTTCCAGGGGATTGTTTTGAATATACACAACTTTGGCTTTACGTACTACCCCCTCAGAAAGTAAACCCTGAGCAAGACACGATCCTACTGTATGTGTACAGTAGGACCTTAACCTCCTCTTCTCTTCCTGGAGAAGAGGAGGTTAAGGGGTGATATGATAGCCATGTTCAAATATATAAAAGGATGTCACATAGAGGAGGGAGAAAGGTTGTTTTCTGCTGCTCCAGAGAAGCAGACACGGAGCAATGGATCCAAACTACAAGAAAGAAGATTCCACCTAAACATTAGGAAGAACTTCCTGACAGTAAGAGCTGTTCGACAGTGGAATTTGCTGCCAAGGAGTGTGGTGGAGTCTCCTTCTTTGGAGGTCTTTAAGCAGAGGCTTGACAACCATATGTCAGGAGTGCTCTGATGGTGTTTCCTGCTTGGCAGGGGGTTGGACTCGATGGCCCTTGTGGTCTCTTCCAACTCTATGATTCTATGATTCTATGTGTATATCACCACTTTACACATGAAGTCAGAAATTGGGGCTGCTCCTCTTGTAACACTATAACACTGCTTTTCAACAGTGACGGTGGCAGGTACATTATAGACAGGGGTTCATCAGACCTCTGAAACAGGAATCCATCCTCCATTGGGAGCAGAGCATGTATAATCTTTTAACAGCTCAAACTGGGCTCATCTTCCTCAGTAGTTCAGTCCTCTGGAGTGTTTGGAGTTGTATCTGCTGACCTTGGTGACTGCAGAGCTAGAACAGCTAAAGAGGGGGGGAAAGAGCTGCAGTGTAGCACTCCTGCAGAAAAAGTGAGAGCTGCAATCCATGCCTCCACTTCTGGCAAAGCGAGTAAAGGCCTTAGAGGATCTCCTGCAAATCCAATCCAGCTCAGGGAGGCAAAACGTGCTTAAAATCTGTAAAAATGTTTCCTACAGTATAAGATTCAAGAGAAATGGACAACTGAAGTCCTTTGAACAAGGAGATGGCTGCCTCCAAAGAGATTTTAAAAATCAATATTATAAAAAATATAATGGAAATTGACTTGGAGGGGATAAAAAGCATTATTCAGTTCAATTCAGATGTAACAGATGAACTCCTTATACCAAACGCATCCCTGAACCATCCGTTTAAACAGTGTTTCATAGACGTGTTGCATTTTCATGTTTCCACTATTTTTCAAATTAACACTGGGGTCACATATCAGTCTTACCTAAAGGGGATTATTTCTAGGCATGGGAGTCTCACTGGGAAGAACACAGCTGGGGAGAAGCAGTTTTCAGTGGAAGTATTCAGCAACTCCTTCCATCTCCCCATGTTGCCCTTTACAGTGTAAATTGTCCTCCCGTTCTCTGGCTTCATAGGAAGCCAACAGACATCCGAATTTAATATACAGGGCTCCCACTGCCACCATCAGATTTTTCCTCTTCTTTAAAACATTCAGCATATAATGCTATATACACTGAGTTCAATGTTTCTTTCTTCCTTCCGAGCTGAAAAGAGTTACAAGTGCAGCCATAAAGAAATGAAAACATTGAGAAAGCAGTGTGTATGTAATGGGGCATAGCACAAGTCTGCTCACCTTCTCTGGTGGGCGGCGTTGTGGCTGGGCCTCAGCCCCTGCAATGATCTGGCTGGGGGTGGAGACTGACGGCCTCCTTGATGCTGTCTGGCCATGTTGCCGGTGCTAGGGCAGGGCCCTGACCAGGGGTGGCCCCGCCATCCAATCAGTGCCGGCAGGAGGCATGGCCGCAGGTAATTTAAACTGCAGTGTGGCCAGAGACCATCCTCTCGCGCCTTTTGCCATGTAATGGGGTATAGCACAAAGTAACAACAGATCTATTCACCCCAAAACACACAAATTGTATGCAACCCCAAGTGGAACAGCTTGGAGCCCAGTTCCCCCCAACTTACCTGATTGTCCATTGTTGGGTGAACCCAAATTTACTCAACATCAAGATTGGTGTTGTTTGAGGGTAACATCATGTGGACTACACAAATTAAATGTGAAAGCAAACAGCTACAAACACACAATAAACCTCAGTGTGGAAAAGCTCCATGTATCTGATTAGAGTAGGTGTAGCTCAAAAAAGCTTGTCCCAAAATAAATGAATTAGTCTTGAAGGCGCCATAAGACTCTTTTATGTTTCTCCTGCAACTAATATGACTACCTCTCTTGCAGTTAAAATCAATAGTACATCCAAGTTTTCTAAGTATAGTTAGGACTGAGCCAGGGGTGCCGACTTGCCCCCCACCTTAAGGGGGCGCAGTCATGTGATGCGTCACGTGATGCCGCCCACAAGACCTGTGGAGGGTGATCTCCGCGCTTGCTTGTCCCAGCCACAGCCCAGGAGCCAGGGTATGGCTGGGACAAGTGAAGCAAAGACCGCCCACTCTTGTCCCAGCTGTGTGGAGTCTGGGTTGCTGGGCAGAGGCTGGCGCTGGGATGTGCATGCAGCTGCGGCAGTGTGTGGTGGCAGCCCCCTCAATATTGGGGGGCGCGCTACCCCCTGCCAAAAAGTATTGGGAGAGCTGAAGCCCCCTCCGCCCCCTATACCCAGCACCACTGGACTGAGCTGTTAAAATTGTATGGACATGACAGGCAAAATCTAATAGCAAGCATTATTTTGTCTCGCTGTACCTTTCATGAACAATGTGAAGTCTGCTTTTAACAACAAACATTGTTATAGCTATAGAGAACTGATTTAAATAAAAGTTCTCCAGGAGTACAGTACTGCCTTCATTTCTTTCCTTCTTTTTTGGTGCAGAAAACTTACATTGCCTGTAGTCTTTGGTTTATTATTTATCAATCTTTAATTAGCATAATCTTGCAGATATTGAAATAAAAGAAAAATACACAGTGGTGTACCTAACATTCTCTGCTTCTGTTTATATGGCAAGCAGCTACACAAGCAGACAGAACTGTTTGCTGAACATTAATTTTTGATTTTAGCAAACGGGCAAGTTCACATGCCTACAAGTGAGCTTGCTTCTGAGCACAACTAATTATATAGCGGAAGAGCTCACCACAAGCACAAATCATAGAGTCAGCTGTGTAGATTCTTCTAATCTTCTCCACAGGACAAACAAATAATTTGCACCCATGCTGTAAAGATTTCATCCTATACCTGGCAAGAAGGGCAGAGTCACCCAGAATTAGGGTGGTATAGTGTGGCTAAGAAGATTGCAGTTGGACTCCTATTCTGCTCTGAAAATCACTGGGTGACTCTGGGTCAGCCCCTGGGCCAGCTTTTCTCACAGGATTCTTGTGAGGACAGAATGGGGGCAAACCCTCATTTATGTTTTCCCAAGTTCCTTTGGGGGAGGGTGGGGCATAAATGCAAAGAATAAAACAAGTAAAAGGCAAGTTTAGTGTTGATGACTGTGCTCCAGGTCCACTCAATTGGTCCTTGGGGTGCTGCATAGAAAGGCCGACATCTTCCTTGCTCCCTAACAATTCTAAGTTTGGGCAGCAGCAGGGAACACTGATCTTCTGTCCCAAGGGAATCAAACATGCTCCTACTCTGCAATTGCCATCCTAAGATCTGAGTCTATACATTCTGACACTACAGCACCATTGTTTTTGCAGGCCAATTGCTACATTTCTATTAAAGAAGGAAAACAATATACAAATGTAAATTTTAATCAATATATGACTGAACAGGTTTTTATTCTGCCAGCTTATTCATTAGGAGTTGACGGAGAGAATGGTGAAATGAACAATCCAACGAGCAAGCAGTTTTAATGGTTCCTTACTTTCCCAACCTTGCTAGGTTAGCAAGAGTGATATACAGTTTAACTCCCCGCCTCTTTTCTTCAGTGAACCATGCTTAGACATGGCTACAAACTGCCTGTTTGGGCAGACTGCTGCATATCTTTTTGTAGAGCACAGTACTCATCCCTGTATTCTCTTGGTGCCAATGGGGAATTTCTTCCCCAAAGCAAATACTAGCTTTAGTAAAAGGATTGTCCTCAGGACTGAAGCAGGGGAGGAAAGCCTTAAATTCTCCCCTCCGCACCTGCTGGTGGAATTTGCATCTTTTAAAAACCTGCATTTTTGTTCAGCATTCATAAATAACTCAGAATTTGGCAGTAGCAGCCTATTTCAAACATTAGGCATGCAGTTCCAGACTCCTATGGAGTTATTTTGTTTACACAAAACACTGCAGAAGTGGGAATACCCCAAACTTTATAGTGTCAGAGATTTGCTGATTTATTGGCTGTTAGGAGAGCTGGACTGCCCCTGAAGCAGGATGAGGGAGCCGCCTGAAGCAGCACCCCTTAAGGGGTGGCACACCCGTTCAACTGCCAAGGTGGAGGTGAAGGTAGAGGCATCTTCTACTGTAAGGAGCTAACCATATACATTTGAAACCCTTCCTACTTCCCCTTGCTATTCGTTGCCCCATTTTTAACCAATGGCTCATCCCTTCATCGGAACTTGGCTGTATCTTGCTTCTATGGAATGTTCCAATCTGCACTGTGCTGCTTCAGTCAAGGTTTTACATTCTGTAAAATGTAATATGGCATCCTCTCTTGCTCCTTGTTCATCTCCTCTTACATGCAACATTGAGCTATGTGGGGTTTTAAAAGGGTCCCCCAGTCCCTGACATTACTATTCAAATGCTATGAAGCTGTTGCTGACTTCATTGCACCAATGTTACAAAGTCACTGCTCCGTGCAAAGAAATGTCATTACCCAATTCACATGATTACACCATTTAAGCCATTTTTTTTATCAGACAAGGAAAACAAGGTGAGAGTTCCCAGAGAAAGCTAGTGTGATGCTTAAAAATAAAAAACACACTTGCTTGCAATTTCATACTTGTTGTAGATGGTTTGAACTTCCTACTTAGGATTAGTGTACTCTTTTGGGGTCATTTAGGGGTGCAGCTTGGCAGGTTAAAATAAGGGGCCTTTGGGCTTCCTGTGGATAGAGCTATATAATAATGCAGTACACTACTAGTCTTGCAACTTCCGTGGTAGCATCACACCCACACAGGCATTTCAACGCCACGACTAAAATGCAGCACTCTTTTGCTGTGTGCGAGGTGACAGCTGTTTGACAGTAGTAGTTAAAGTAAACCAGAAGCCACTTAAAGTTGTTGTGAGAAACCTCTATATACACTTGAAATTTCAAGATAGCTCTTTTCCCCCTTTGGGGAAATGAAGGGTGCAGGGAGGGCTAAATGGTACTTGGATTCGAGCCAGGTAATCATGGACTGGATTTTATGTCCCATCCAAGCAGCATATGTACCCACAGCGGTGCAGCACCCCACAACACGGTCACAGTGCTGCTTCTGTGCTAATTGAGAAGCCATCTGCTGCCCAGGTATCAGTTCCAGTTCCCAGAGCACCAGGAACTGCACAGATCCCTGACTTTACATTGCAGAAGAGAATTTTTAAAAAGAGTAAGACTTTTAGGACCAGCCCCAAAAACCATCTCCTGAAATAATGCCCTGTAAATCAAAAGGCACTGCTGTGCCATAAACGCTGATCTGATTTTTTATGCGTATGTCACAGTAACTTTTAATCTGATTTAAATAACACCAACTTTAACCCAATTTTATGATTTAGAATGGAATTTTTTTATATCTCCAAAAAGATGTAAAAGTGGTTTAGAAGAAACAAAATTGCTTCCAAATAAATTACTTTTGTAAAATCCTATAAATCAATCTTCTTAATATTGTACACTAAGAGGCAGGCTTGTGCTTCCTGTGCATTTTCCAACCTCCATTTCCACCAACAAAAAATGTATGATCCATACTAGAGACTGGGTTGATAATAGATCCAAGCCATGTGACTCAGTTCTCTGTAGTTATAACCTCTAGTTATAAGCTCCCTACTATGCTGAGGATTATCAGATAAAGACGGTAAATTAATTGAGAACTCTCAGGTTCTGTGCCTCTGGTCTGGACTCATGAAAGGGCCAACATTGCTCCATGGTGATTTTTGCAATGATCCATTAGATTCTAGCAGAACTGGAGGACTTCACATACATTTCCAATTAGATGTAAAGGGTATGACTACACCATCTTCCTAGGAAATTCACCATTTACGGTTCATGCTGAAACTGATTACCTATGAAAGCAGCATGACATCTTCCAGGTGCAAATCAAAGACTTTTTTTAAATAAAATGATGGATGACTCATCTACTATCATATTTCCTTTAAACTTCAGAAACCCAAGACCAGAATATGCATTCGTAACCATTTCCATATTGCGGAACAGGAAAGAGATATCTGTGTGGTGATACAAGGCTTGGGTACCTTAAGACCTACGTACATTCTTCTGCCCTTACCCTACGTACATTCTTCTGCCCTGACCCACAAGGACAAGGTTCATCAAGTCAACTCCAGCCTTCATGTATTCACTAGGCAAGGCCGTTACTCCATCAACTCTTTGGCAATCAAATAATTATCATCAGGATCTATCCCAGCAAGTTGCAAAGCATTCTGCCATTTCAGCTTGGTATCCAAACCAAATGCAACCAAATCCAGAGCAGCTCCTTCTTACCCAGGCTTGATGCTTTTGCGTTCAGAAGCAAAGCAAAATAAAAAATTACTTGCCCGTTGCTTTCACAGTGCTACTTTCCCTCATCCTCTCACAGGCCAAGAAAACATGATCGCTTTGTTCCCCCCAGTCTCTTCCAAAACCAAATTTTGGAGGAGCAAGAGGGAAACTACGTAAGATTCCTTTATGCATTTCTTTTCATATGAGAATAGTTGCTAATTTCCCCCATCAAACCAATAAAAACATGCACTGCCATTCATATCCTTATTAACCATATCCTTATCTATATTGAAACCAGCTACAGGAAATGCACTGCTTTTCAACACTGTGTTAAAAATTAAATTAGGAGCCTTACCTCCACCAGATGAGGTGTTGGGTTGAATCCACACATGTTGCAGACCTGCTGCTTACAGGATGTACAGGTATTATAGTTGGAGGGTTCACCGGAGCCCACGTTGATCTCTGCTTTACAGAGGGGGCACAAGACCCTTGCTTTCGGCACTTCCTTTGGCTTAATTACTTGTTCTGCTTTTGCTTGCTTTGCAGCCGGGACAGTTCCAGCCTTACCCTGCATTCCAGGTGTGGTGCCTGGGGCTTTAGGACCAGCTTCTTTGCTGGCATCGCTGAAGACAATTTTCGGAGGCACTTTGCCAGGGGACTGCTGACTTGGTGGGGTGGCCTCTGGCTGGACAGACATGAGTGTGCTTGCCTGGGTCAAGAGGGAAGCCCCAAATCCAAAAAGTTTACCAGTGAGGCCCTCTTGGGGCTGCTCTTGCGCCCCAGCACTGGGGGCAGGGGCCGAAGTCTTAGCTGGAGAGTCTCCCACAGTCTTTCTCTGATCAGTGGACGAAGGCTTTGCTTGCTGATGCTGAGGGGAAGACCTCACCACTTCCTGAGGAGCAGCAGGTTTTGGCTGGGCTTGGCTGGGTGGTTCCCTCTGGGCTGAAGCAGGGGGTGGTTTGGGGGTCTCAGGCTGCATGACACCAGCACTTGGCCTGGGGCCTGGCTGCATAGTTCCTGGTTGTTTCTCTGGTCCTGGTGCCACATGGGGCAGTGGCTGTTTGGCTGGGGAATGGGAAGGGGAAAGTGCCGGGGAATGTAGCTGCTGCTGGCTTTTGGAACGGGGTGCAGTGGTCATGTCCATCCCCAAAGCTCTCTGCATCTGGCAATTTAAACATAACCATTCTTGCACCTAGAAGACAAAAACAAAGAAAAGCCCATAAAGATACATGCACAACTCAGTCATCAGACAGCTAGACTGGCAACATGAGAACACAGAACCTTTGTCCCTTGTTGAATGTTGCTTTTCTACCCAATGAACAAAACAGACTCAGTACATATCTATAAACTCTTTCTCCAGAAAGATATTTTGCTACTCAATAAACATCAGGGGTCCATCTGTCAACTATTTCTTTTCTTTGAAGGCCTCCAGTGAAATCTCTGTCTCTAATACATCCAGCATAAATTTGTCTCTATGACCTAGTTCACGTCTGATGAAGGCCTCGGCCTAAGCATCCGAGGAGAATGTGGGACTGAGGAGCATGTAAGTCCCCCAACATCTTCACAGCCATGCCACACTGTTTGTGTGAACATTTTAAAGCTGGTATGATTAGGCAAATGGCAGTGGCAACATAGCTGGCCTCCATCTGGTGTTATCAGTTCAAGCAGTGGCGGAGGAAGCCGCTCAGCCGCCTGGGGCGCACCGTCCATAGGGGCGAGGCACACCGCGGGGCCTCCAGAGCCTGCCTGTCTCCTCCCACTCAGCTGCCCTACAGCTGGTGGGGAGGCAGTGGGCGAACCGCTTGGGTAGTGCGGAGCCTGCGTATGCCCAAGCCACCGCATCTCTCCCAGGAGAGGGTCTGCGTGCACTGCAGACCCTGCGGTGAGTGTCGCCTGGCATTTTGTCACCCCCCTCATTGTTGACACCCGGGGCAGACCACCCCTACCACACACCCCTTCCTCCGCCCCTGAGTTCAAGCGTGAACACGGCCTAAGCGGGAGCACAGCAGCCCTGTGTGCTGCCAAGGAGGCCACCTACAAGTATGAGTGAGACTTAGTTTAGTGGCACTGTTCAGCTCAGTATTCTCCAATGCACTGGCTTATCTGGGAAAACTTGTTCAATGAATGGCCAACCCTGGCAGTGGCACGTGAAAATCATGTAGTACTATGTATACCCAGGCAGCATGACTTGCACACTGCTGCCAGGTTGGTCATTGACTGAAAAGATTAAGCTTTACTACATTCTACAACCTTTCAAAGCTCTGGAAAGCAAACACAGCAGCATCTCAGAGGCAAGATGGAAAGGTTCAGCCTTCCTCACCAGACATATATGGTTGACTGAAAGCAAGACACATTTTCGCTCAATACATGTGAAACCCCTAGATACAAAATGAAAACTGTGACATGCCTTGGCTAAGTACTAACAAATGAAACATTCTCCCCATGAGAGAGATACCCAGTGACACAATAATATCTGAATCAAGTTAATTAAAGAGGCTTTATGGGAGCTGCAAATCTTTTGATTCTTTGAATCCCCAGGACACCATGTGACTGTACAAATATTAATATATAACACACTGTTGGATAATCACAGTTCATAAACTGGAGATTTTCTTAGGCAAGCAATTGCAGTCCTAAAAAGCAGCATAGTCAAGAAAGGTTTACAATAGAGGAAAATAATAGCTGAGAATTTCAGAGCAAGGCTGAGACAGTTAGGGCAGCAGCAATGCATATAGTTGCTCTTTTAACTCAAGAAGCCCAAAGCATGTATTAAATCCCACCATTTTAATCCTGTCCTCCCAATCTCCCTGAACTCTTACTGCTTGCCAGCCCCCCTGGTCCCAAACTATTTCCAAACTGAGGATCCTCAGCCCATGATTAAGTACCAGTTCATCTTCTGGGGCTAAAGAGCTGGAGGAGTCACACATTTGGGCCCTGGCAGTTCTAGAACTGTTGAAATGCTACTGCTGATACTAAGACTTCAAGGGGCGTGACGATCTTTGCAACTGATCACTCCGAAACGGAATCTACTTTTTCATTTAACCTTGGGAAACTTGCCCTTCTGGTTCTTTACCCACAGACCTAATGCTATGTGAATCAGAGCAGAATGCACAGCCATTTTAGTTTCAACATTTCATAGCTTTGAAAGGCTGTAAGCAGACTTTTCAAAAAACCTTTCTCACCACTGAGAAAACAAACAAACCAATAAGGCAGTAGCAGAGTCAGGAACAAAAAAGACTGCCATTTTCATCCACCTGCCAGAGACACTTATTCAACAACACCAGTTTGAAAATGGATGAAGAGATACACAAAATAGCTTACAATTACAGATATCCTTCACTTCCTATATAATTTTTCAAAATCAACTATTACAAAAATGCAGTACTGCATTAATAAAATGGTTCATCAGTAGTGAAAAGGCTGCTGCCCAGTAGGAGAGCAATGCTTTGTATGCACAATGGTCCTGAGTTCAATCTTCAGTTAAAATATCAGATAGGAATGCTCAAAAACACCACCGCCTGAGACCCTGAAATGTTGCTGTAAAAACAGATGTTATGCAATACGAACCAATGTCTCAGTGAAAAACAGTTTTGTATGTGCCAGTGAATTATGTGTGTAGAATGTATTAATTTTGCCTGCTTTCTGGGACAAATTGCTTCTTGTGTTCACGGTTGCTTCTTGTGTTCCTTTTACACTGGTACAAAAATCACAACAATAAAAATAGGCTGCCTCAGGAAGGGAGAGAGAGAGAGAAGAAAAACTGGAGGAAATGCTTCATAATCAATCAAAACAGCCTCTGCCTTGATATATGCAAAAGGAGAAAGCTAAATTCCTGTGATTTTCAGTACTCAACCAACCACATCTGTGTGTCAAAAAGCATCTGCAAAGCAACTGGTAGCTATATACCAATCTGTGAAATAGCACACTTATCAAAGATGCTTCCAGTGCCGCTGACGCAGCAGTTAGTAATTGCTTTACTTAGCAGGAGAGCTGAAAAGGCTGCACTAAGACAGCAGCACTAGGTGAGATTGAACTAGATGTTCCAGCTCAAAGTGTTGTCATCTCTGCAAGCAACACCCCACCCAACTGTACCTGACAACTGCCCAGTTTGTCTACATTTGAAAAGGAAGCTAGAGATGGATTGGAGAATTTGGTGCAGAAAAACTGGGGAGGAAAGGGGTAAGTACCCCTATTCACCTGCTGCATCTCCAGTCAAACTTTACTAATCACAAACTGCCTAACAAGGCTGTATTAAATGCAACTGTCTGTGATGTGTTGTTTACCTTGATAAGGCTTCCAGAAGAAAAAAAATACTGGCCCCTCAACCCACCCCCTGCAAGCCTATTAACTTCATTCATTCTTCATTCTATTGATTTAGTATCTTAAAATGGCACAACTGCAATGAACACAATACAGACAGCTTTTGCATGACTGGCAACTCACTCCTATAAATGTTTACTTGGAAGGATCATTGAGTTCAACAGGACTTACTGCCAGGTCAGTATGCATTAAGACTGCAACCTAAACCAGTCTTTAAAACATAATCAAGGCTTTAGGTTTCTGTGCAACCCCATTTGTAGTCCAAAGATGAGAAACTGTGTGACTTATGAAAGAATGCAGGAATTGTCCAATAAATTAAGTCACTATTTACAAAAAAAAAAAGTATCCACAGAAAATCATACCTACTAAGCAGCGTTTTTTTCCTTTTTTAAAAAAAAAGTTTAGGGGTACTCTCAGTTTCCTACTCATATTGAAATACTGCCCCTTAATGAGGCCAAACTTAGATTCACAAAATGTTTAGGGGTAGGCGTACCCCTGCGTATCCCCAGGAAAAAAGCACTGCTACTAACCATGATATACAGTTGTATGTAAGAGGGTTCCATAACTCTGAAAGCAGAATTAAACCCATCCTAGTCCCAGTGATTTTAAAGGCCTGGCTTCCTGCTACAGCTTCCCCATCCTATAATCACCAACCAACAGAAATCAATTTTATAGGGGCTGAACTTTTACAGGGGGAACTTCCAGAAAACAGAGCTAATAAAGAATGCCCCCCCACCTGCACACGCACGCACACACACACACATTCAGAAACTAGACAGCACAACACCTCTGTTATCTGAGAGCAGGTCTTCCAATCAAGACACTGAGCTGTCAATTATAACCGGCAAAACGTTCCTCCAGCAACCCAGCCCAAGGCAAAAGGACAACCCTTCCAGTTCATTAAGAAATACTTCTTGTGTGATTTGATGCCTCACTAGATCCCATTTAGATGTTCTTTGTCCTTTGGCTCCTGGAAAAGACCAAAAGGTCTGAGCACGTCCATGCGTACAGGTCTTTCTTCCCTGCTTTGCAAGCAAGAAATGTAGGAAAGTCTGCCCACAGTGAGTGTAGGTGTTTTCTCTGCAGTTCTAGGCTTCTTTCCCTTTGCTGTCTTAAAAAAATTGCAGCCAACACAGCACACCTTCAACATCAGCCCTCTCAATCAAGGCAACAGCATTTAGGGTGCTTTTTGGTGCTGTGCTGAAAAGGGCCATGGGACAGGCACGTGAATAAACAAGAAGCCTCAGGGCCCTGGCTAGTCATTCTTTGTCTTTCTCAGAATTAAAATAGCAACTTGAGAGGGAGGAGGGTGGCCTGAAGGCAACAAGGATCACTGGTGCTCAAAATTGTTTTCATTCACTGGTACCTTATGCCTGAAGCAGAAGCAAACACATAAAGACATTGGATTTTTGTACAGGGGGGGGGGGGAGGGAGTTTAGCTGGAGGGTACAATACTGATGCTTTACACAATAGATATTATACTAGAAAGAGCAAACCGCTCTGAGTAAACAGACTTACATTTTATAACCTTAGCGCATGTCGGCATCAAGATATTCACACAAAACAGTGTTAGCCTGTGTGGGTCCACATATTTACACATCCCCCCCCCCCCAAGCTGAAGGCCGCAACACAAGTCTCTTCAGGGCCTCCTTTTACAAACAATGCTGCTACTTCTAAGCGTACAGGCAAAAAGACTTCCGGCCTACTGCAGTGCAATGTACTGTACTGACAGAGACTGCTTTGCAGCTCCTTCCTGAAAACTGAATGCATCTTAGAATTTGAACTCATTGCCTCGTCATGGGCGCCCTATTGTTTTCACCTTGCTGTACTTCCCCACATAAAGCTATATACATTAACATAGCTAATATCAGGCTACTGAGAGCTGGAGGCCAACCATTAACTGATTTTGTTAAAATTAAATATTGCCCCTCAACTAAGAATCACAGGACAGTTTACAGTATAAAAACGCAAAAATACACAACGTAATAACAAACAAAACAATAGCCATCCCCCCATACAGATTATTATTAACATGAAAAGCACACATTGTAAAACACCTCTCAATTTTCACGGGCAAGCTAAAGGTTGTGGCTTGGGAGCAAACCAGAGGGAAAACCTAGCCTCAGTTCAACGTTGGGATCACGGTATCCCTTTAAAGGGATCCTGGGGGCAGTGCTTTGTCCTGATGTCCAAAAAGGGACTGATGGGCCATAGCTCCCCAAAATGGTGGTCTTAAGGGTGGGGCTACCCAGATTTGATGTACAAGATAGGGTGACCCTTAACCTTGTCAAGCATCTGTCAGCAATTGGGCTGGTCGATGTTAGGATACACACTCAATGCTGATGCCAAAACCTGCTAACAGCTGTAATCAATAAAGTTGTGGCCTGTAAAATCCCAATACTGTTGTCTTGTGGTTTGTTGCAACTAATATCATAACTGCCCCGTCCCACCCATATCTGCACTGGGCCTGGGCCAGCAAAACATGTCTATGCTGAGATAAGATGGCGCCCGGCACACTTCCCCTGTGCCGATGGACGCTTGTGCCGATAGGAAAAAACTTGAGCTCTTAGCAGAGTTCTGCAGCGGTAGAAAGTGTTGCCTTGTGTGTGGATAATAAATCAGACTGAACGCAGGCTTCTTGCTAATCTCTAACAGCCTTTAATGAGAAGAAAAACATCATAAATCAGCCCGGCGAGAGAGCGGACATTCTTTCGTCTCTCAGCCAAAAACGAAAGGAAACTCATACACAAGGAAAGATTCCCGTATGTGAACCAAACCACGCCTCAGAATGTGAGACGTCACACAGAACTGTTTAACCCTGTAAGTTCTGATTCTCCTCACAGTCTAGGGCTGAAGCTTCCAGTTTACAGATTATCTCTTCCTCATGCTCGTTTACCATATAGAGTTCTTCCAGTTATAAATTCAGGGATAATTATTCCCTTAGAGAATTGTTTTCAGCTTTGAAATTTTGTTGGAATGCTACAGGTAAAGTTCATAACATTGTCTATTGTCTATTTTTAATATTGCATTGTTATGTTGTTATGTACTCAGTAGTATCTTGGGAAGAGCCAATCTTGGCTGCCATCCAAACAACAGCTTCTGAGGAAGTACTGAAACAAAAACATATGCCAGAGATTTTAAACAAGATTATCTATACTACTGGATAAAAACATTAACTGTATTTCTGCATGAAATTTGTACAGTAAATCTATGGATGCATGGGATGCACAGGCAAACTGTGTTATCCAGCATCCTGCTAAAAAAATCATTTTGTGCAAAATGTGCAAAAGAACCTCACAAAAGTAATAAAAAATAGAGAGCAGGGAAGAGTTCTTTCTCTATAGGTTGCATTAAAATGTAAGTTTTTCTTTTGGCTATTAACTGAACTTTGGTCAGATCACACAGAGAGGCCCCTGATAACAACAAAAATCTGTTCACATACGACTGAATTAGAAATCTCTCCAAGTTGCCCAAGCATACAAACAAGTTCCTATCTCCCAATGGATTTGTATTTGTAATTTGAATCAAACAGAGAATGTAATTCACTATATACTAAAATATCCCTCATATGATTGGTCAAGGGGAAATACTTGAGAAATAACCTAGCTTAAATAACCTGTTTTGATTAATAAATCATCTGCTTATTAGAAGATTTGTCAATAATTGTCAGTGCTGCATGACTTAGCAGCAAGGAAATCTCAAGTGGAAGAAATGGAAAAGATCAGGGCAGTTAATGTAGGGGACTCCTAAGCAGATAAGAAATCTGTTTGGTTCAGTTTAAATTGAGATGTTATTGTTCTAGATCTCCCTCCCTTGTTCACACACGGTTATATTTTAGTATGTTTGCCCTATAATGTAATTTCTGTGATGAAACTTTTATACTGAACCTTTATCTACTTTTATCAACGGCTAGTATAATATGACTGATGAATGAATGACAGGTTGCCGTGCATAATTTTTGCTCCCTGAAACATCCAAAATCTGGAGAAGTGAGTATTCTGACTGGGAGTTGTGTTCCAGTCCACAAACAAATTTGGGAATGTCAGATCAAGCTGGTCACCTGCAAAAAGTGGAACAAACAAATTCCTTCTCCATCCCCAGCTGACACATCACCAAAAACCTCCGATGACCTGCTAGCAGTTTCATATATATATACGGAATAGCATGATGTAAAGAATAGAATCCTGTGGGTCCTCATAAGGCAGTGGCCCCACACCTACCTTCTGGAAACACCCAGTCAAAGCACAGTACTTCCTAACCCTAAACCAGTCAGAAATCCTAGGAGGATGTCATAGCCAATGGTATCAAAGGCCAGAAAAGCCAACAGGGATGCAGTCTCTTTGTCTGGCTCATGGCAGAGGTCTTCCACCAAAGTAAGGCTGCTTCGGTCCCAAGCTAGGCCTGAATCGGATTGGAAAAGATCTAAATAACGTATCATCAATATCATTAAATTTCTTTATTGCTTTCCAAATTGTTCAGGCCTATAAAGGCTGATTGTTAGGTTAGCTTTACCTAAGCAGAACTTGTGTTGACTTATAATAAATCTTATTTTAAGTAAGGTAAAAATCACAATGATACAGGCATCCAAATCTGTATCACGACTAACAGGTGCTTTGTATATACACTATACTTTTAAAGCAAATTTGAAACACATTTCCCCTCTCAAAGAATTATGAGCACTGTAATTTGTTAAAGGTTGCTGGGAATTGTAAATCTATGAGGGGTAAACTACAGCCCTCAGAATTCTTTGAGGTGGGAAATGTGCTTTGAAGGTATACTGTGCACGCAGCCATTCTTTATACACAATACAACCAAGCCGTACACCCGTCCCTCCCGAGATCGAAACCTACATATGCTTAAGTAACATGAGAACTGAGTCTAAAAAGATTATGTCAGGGGAAACCTATTAATTTGTGTACCAGCTGCCTCACTTGGGCAAGCTGCTTTAGTAAACCCAGGAGTGCCACCATTTTCAGTCTCCTGCAGAGCTTCTTAATGTACTCTGTGTGACATTTCCAAGGATTACAGCCAGCCACTCTGTAGTGGAAATTATTGCATCGTATGGACAAACCACACAGCATCTTCTTGTTAAGAACGATTCCTCTCCCAATATGCACATGATAATATGCAAACAAAACTGCAAGGTGGACAAAGACACTGCCTACGTCTGCTACCTGTGTCTATCCTCATTCTCGCCCTCTTTAAAAAGGTTTCCCTCAGGTAATATATTTTATAAACCCTGATTCTTTCTGCAAGGTTCAATTATGTACAGTGACAAGAACTTCTGCTTTATCAGGACAGTGTTTCTAGTAGCTGCCTGGTAGTGACTATTAAATTGGAAGAGCTCTGTAGCTGACTATGATGCAGAGGCCAGAACCGTGACTGATGCAAGCAGTGTCTGCGCCACTCTGATAAGAACATTAGATGTTCCTGAATAATCTCGTCTTTGCTCAACATTAAAGCTGGTATGTTTACTGTTTCTGGCTTGTATGAGAGAGAGAGAGAGAGAGAGAGAGAGAGAGAGAGAGAGAATGAGAATACCATTCATCATATCCATTAGAAGTGAAGGAATTGCCAAGAAACAGGGTAGGATAACATTTCTTTCTACTCTCCACTGTGCTTCTCTCTGTACATTTGCATTGTTGTGGCAGAAAGCCAATGGTAAATTACTTATCAAACTAGAAGTTACTCATCCTAGTCTTGGGAGGTGAAGGGGTTTAAGCTTAATTTCTTTAATTTTGTTTATACAAGGAGGGAAACTTCAGCTTGGACTTACTTAAAATACCCGTTCCGTGACTCAAGGTTATGGACACACTCTAAATCCAGAAAGAGACATCCTTTGAAAATGCACCAGAAATTGGAAGAAAAAAGATGTACTACTATTAATTCCCCATAGCAGCAGCAAGGCACTAGGAGATTATGCCTCCTCATTGCAGCATTTCTGAGATGCCTATAAAAGTTTTGTTTTCTGGAAGCACAGAGTGCAAGGACTTAAACAATCAATTTTATTAGATGACCCCAAGTTTTAGCCTTTTGACAGAGGGAGAAATCTGCTCCTAATCAACTTTATTCACACTGTCTTTCCTCCCCCCTAAACAGCCTCAACCAAACACATTAGCCTTTCATCGGAAACAAGGTGCTCTTTTTATGATGGGGCAGAGAGATCTGCACTCAGTATTTATTTATTTGTCATTTATTATTAAAGATTTATTCTGCTCTCTTCAAGTATCAGGGCATCTTATCATAAAATATTAAAAACAATATGAAGTAAATAATACATAAAATATGTTAAAAATAGCAAATCTATAAAAGCAACATAAAATATAATCCAAGCAAAAGAGATCGCCAGGAATATAAAAGGTCTTTGCCTGTGACAGAAAGACATCAGAGTGGGTGCCAGGTGATCTTCTGGGAGTGTGTTCCAAAGCCAGGGCTCCACCACTGAAAACACCCAATATCCAGTAGTGACCCACCAGAGCCCAAATGGCCAAGTACAGACAGACTCATGTGAAGATAGACAATCATTCACAGTATAGAGCCACTCCATGTATTTGTATTTGGGGAGACTCAGCCAGATGTGCAGGGTATAAATAATTTATTATTATTATTATTATTATTATTATTATTTTCAGAAGGGATGGCAATTATAGGAGATTTCGAACTCTTGGGGGATGCAGTAGGGAGAAAAAGACCAATGAACAGAGCAAGGGCCATGCACACAGGGAAGACTCTACAAAGCACTTCAAATGCCACAGTTACTCTGTTTCATCTGTCACTACAGTCTTATCCATTTACAACCTCTTGTTGCTGCACAAGAATTATCTGGTTAATGAAATTAGGAATGCGAACCGTGCCATCTTCATGCCTTAGCACTGCACTTGTCTGAGTTTTTACATTACATATATTGTTTTATTTAAGCCTTCTATGCCCATCTAAACAAAGACTAACAAGAGCAGTGAAAGAGTTGATTCAGCTTGCAAGTTCACCTCATATATGCCCACTTGACCACTTTGATCTGTGTAACTGGCACTGTTACAGATGCCACATAGTACTCATTCTATGCTTGTAAGAAATTGAAATTGATTTTGAGAGTAGCAGCATCCACACTTTGGAACTCCCTGCCTTTTGACATCCAGACCTTTAGAATGTTGGCATGTGTTTTAATCTGGATTTTAAGCTTATTGTGGATTTTAACTATTTTTTAATGTTTTAAATGATAATTTTATTTCTTTTTTGTAATAAACTTGAATGCAATACAATCAAGTGGTATCTAAATCTTGTGAAATATGTAACATATATAAATAAATAAGATGAACACACTGGTTTCATATGGAAATTTGTAGTACAAACCTACATCCTTTAGGCCAGGGGTCAGAAAACTTTTTCAGATGTGGGCTGGTCCAGCATCCCTCAGACCATGTGGTGGGCCACTTTTGGGGGGGAAATTAACAAATTCCTATGCCCCACAAATAACCCAGAGATGCATTTTAAATTAAAGGACACATTCTACTCATGTAAAAACACGCTGATTCCTAGACCGTCTGTGGGCCGGATTAAGAAGGCAGTTGGGCTGCATCCGGCCCCCAGGCCTTAGGTTGCCTACCCCTGCTTTAGGCTATTTTTGATTCAAAATAGTCACAGGACCTATAAAAGTGACATTTCAAAATCAAAGCTTAAAATTTCTTGTTTTTATAGTCCACTTAAAACAGCAGCTCCTTTGAAATAAAGGCAGATGTCTCAGACATGACTAGTGAATACAACTAGAAATGTCATCTGTTTTAGTCTAAGATGCCTAATATAATTCCCGATTTTCTGTTCTCTTATCGCTTTGCTCATTAACACAACTACTTCTGCTGGCTCAACATACTTAATCTCTGCCTGTTTTTTTGAAAGCTTGAAGAAAAACAGCTCAGTTTCGCAGACAAGAAGTAAGGAAAATAAATAGTTCTCTAGTTCTCTTAATACAATGCCAGAGATGCTTTTAAATCAGTCTAGTGCCCTGGACATGGAGGCACAGGGTAAGACAATTGCCTCTACCTGTAGAATGTAATGTATTAATATCTCATTCCTTCTTATTGAAAATACGCTGAGAGTAATAGCTTAACCGAGACTGAATAATGATTTTCAGTGAGAATTCTGGGGAACAAGCTACAGATACATACAACTGCATGTAACAATACTTCAGCAGCTTCTTCTTGTAATGAAAAGCGATTATGGAAAAGGTTTTTTCCCTTATATCCCAAGAAAAAATTATTTACAACGATCAGACTACTTCCTCCTTTCAGGTTGCTGGAACCAATCTGTCTTAATGAGCCATTAGACACCCTACCAGGCTTTGCCCCTCAAATGTTTTCAGCCAAGATGGGTCAGGGCTGGCACACAAGTGGTAGGCCATGTATCTCCACATAATGTGGAGTGGGGGAAAAGATGCATTGTCTAACATTATTCTGCTGCCATTCCCCACTGCAGTTAATTTCCCCGCTATGAGGCTCCAGAATGCTGGAGTTTTGTATGTACATTTTCATGTAATGTGCCCTTTAGAGTATTTTCTTTCTTCCCCAGTGTTTTAAATGAAACATTTCAAGTTACAAACTGTCAAGATTTGCAAAAGCAAAACAAACAAATCACTGAAGAGCTACAGTATGTTGGGGGGAAACAAGAAACTTTATCCAGGATTTGAGAATATGTACTGCAAATGACATGCCCAAAATATAGTAAGCTTTCTTTGCATTTGTAGAGATCAAATTTCATTTCTTAGTATTTTAAGTTATATTGCAGTATGCATCTGGAGCTTTCTTTTCTTTTCTTTTTTTTGCACCGCAGAACACTAGAAATACTGGATGGTGGATTTACAGTGCAAGCAGCTATTTGCAGATCCAGGTATGTATATGGGTAAGCCTTGCAGAAACTCTGATTCACACCATTCTACACCAATATACTTAGTTTGTAGATGCAATGACTAGAGTGTCTAAATGGTGAGCAGATATATATATCACTGGCTCACCTGTGAATCCGTCGCTATGGAGTCAGACTTAAAACAGCTGAACATATTGCGGTCTGTCAGTTAAAGCCACCTAGGTTTCAGTTTTCAAGTCACTAGTGCCAATGGTTGACATTAGGGGTTCTGCTGATACAAATATGAATTTGCTTTTAATTAGAAACAACTGAGATCATTTGAATGGCAGATATCACAAATGCATGCTTCAACAGCTGCCTAAAACTATGCATTTGGAATCTTGGCACATCTGGCTACCCTTGTTCAAGGCTCTTCCCGCTGCCCTTGGCAAAGCAGCAATTGCAAAGACGAAAGCATGCTGTTTTTAATACATCCAAAGTTGTTGCCTTTGCTACCTGCTGCTTTAATTACTTTTCACCCCCATGTTCCCTCTCCCACACAGAAAGCCACACGCCTACATCCTTTGAAGAAAGCGTAATGTTTCAATCTGAAACGCCCATACTGTTTATCATACCTCTTAAATGTTGCAGAACTCCTGCTTAGTCTTGCTCACTCCTTATATCGGAGGCAGAACATGTGGATGACACAATCTAAAGAGGACTGTCGGTAGAACTAATTGCCTTATTCGTTGTGAATAATGTATCCAACACATTTTTATTAGCACTTGCTTCATCTTTTTGTTTAGCTAAAACACTCCTTTCATTATTCTTCCCCACTCTGTAAATGAGAGGAGGGAACCAGAGCAGGAGAGGAAGGAGCAATTGGAACTGTTTGCACATAAAGCAACCTTAGATGTTATCAAAGGTTCTGAACAATTGTACACTTTGTTAGTGGGGATAACTTGTTATTTCTCTTTAATATAATGACAGCAGAATCCTATACTTCTCTATTTAGAAATAAGTCCTGCTCTGATGAAACTTACTGCCAAGTATCTGGGTGTATGGCACTGCAGTCAGAGAAATGAAGTTGAGAAATATGCCATTATGTAAAAGGCTTGTTAGCCTGCAGTTCCTTCTCAATAAAAGAGATGATGAAAATGAGGGGACAGAAAATAAATACCAAATTAGAGAAGACTTAAAAGAACAGGTATATTTAGAAGTCAGATACTGCAGCAGATATAAAAAGAAAGCCAGATGCTTATTTATTTCTTGAATAAAAGAGTAAGAAGATGAAAATGCAACAAGATGAAATCTCAATTAGCGGATATTGCCCTCTGGAATTCAAGGCAGCATGGGGAAAGGGTTTAGTATAACTTACAAAACCATTCACAAACATTTTCAGACTGGTTTATAGTTTATAATTACAGCACCGGTAAGGCAAACTATGTCTTACCAAGATGGTGTGAATGTGTGAGCTCTTGCAGAGGAGCTCACTTCAACTTTGCTCATCCTGACCATTTTTTACTGCCATGCTGAACCAAGCCAAGGTTTGGCTTAATGTGTTGTCCACACCCAGACTCATGGTAGCCTCCTCATTACCTATGGGCAGCAGCCAAGAAAAAACTTTTAACAAAATGTTTGATAAAGGATGTAAAGAGGGTATAATCAATTTGATGAAGGGCATTATCAAGGTAAGCTTAGGCCATAAACCATGCTTTTTAAGGGGATAAAATTCTGCCCACATATATAACATTCTCCTTTGCTGCATCATGTCGGAGTAGGTTAATTCTGAATATAAACAAAAAATAATTACTGGCCAAAGGTCAAATCAAGAGGACAATAGTTTGGATCTACATTGCTCCTCCATTCACACAAGGAAAGGAGTGATATCCACCAACCAACTCTTATCTACAGCCCCACCCCATAACATCCTTTCCTGAGAGTTCCCTAACCCCCAGCAGCAGATTTCTGTGGAGCACAATGTGCTACAAAGCGAAGCGGGAGGCAGAAAAGCCATTTTGTAAAAGTGAATGCTATTCCATTTTCAGAAGGAAAGAGATGTTCCAAACCCATATGAATGAATAAAGAGTTATACAACAGCACTTTCAGTTGCATAAAAACCTATCACCGCTGCAGTCAACTGCTATAACACAGAGAAACACAAAAACCTGGCCTAACATCAAAGTTGATGTTTAATCCTTGAAACAAATTTTAACAAGCATGTTTCCGATTATTTTTATTATTATTTTAATCACACAAAAAGTGATCTGAAATCAATTTTATAAGAAATTCAGAAAAAATATGCAACTATAGGAATATATGGTTAAAAAAGATCAGGTTTATTCATACTGTTGTTTAAGGTGGGTAGCAAGCTTCCTAAATCTCCATTAATTCTCCATTGTCCATATGACATTCTCCCTCTGGACAATGGAGAATTAATGAAGGTACAGAAAGCTTACTATCCATATTAAACAACAGTATGGGTGGCACCCCTGTTTCTTCTGCTGTTGATGTGGTTTTTATGACTATGTGTGCTGCTTTTGGGTTTCTTCCCCAATTTTTTTTTGTACTTTCATTCTAAACCAGCTTACATTGATTTTATTATAGAAAAACAGGATATAAATGTTCAGATAAAATTTAAAAGCCCTCTTTATACTGAACCAAAAATGTCACTTTTTGTTCTCTTCCTTTTTTACATTCTGTGGCTGCATCTAAGGCTGATGTTTCATTCACTAACTAGTATGGCTAGCTATAGAATCATAGAGTTGGAAGGGGCCCGGGGGTCATTAGTCCACCCCCTGCAATGCAGGAATCTCAACTAAATCCTCCATGACAGGTGGCCATCCAACCTCTGCTTAAAAACCTCCAAGGAAGGACAGTCCACCAGCACTCAGAGGAGTCTGTTCCACTGTCAAACAGCTCTTACTGTCAGAATGCTCTTCCTGATATTTAGTCAGAATCTCCTTTCCTGTAACTTGAACCTATTGGTTCGGGTCCTAGCCTCAACTGAACAGATATAAGAGTCAGCAGCATTCTTCTCAAAACTAAAACAATTAAGCCTGACATGATTCAAAAGTGATGCTACCATAGTTGGGAAAACAGATTCTACCTGGGTACAGAATGAGCAATAGCTTGATTAATCAACTATCTAAGCACAGAGCAATGAAAGAAAATATGGTTCCTCTCATGCAAAGAAAAATTAAATGCCAAGTGGGTGTAAATACCTTGAAGATTGCACTTAATTTGTAGTTCCCTAAATTATCAACATTCCAAGTAGCAAAGTAATGTCAAAGGATGTTCATAACCTTGCTAACACTCCTAAGCAAATCCATGCTCAAGCATCATGATTAATTATCAGGCATTGGAGAACCTGGTAAACACAGCACTTAAAGCATGCACTTGTGGAACAATTTAAATCAACTCATCATACTTCCATGGATGTAAAAAAGTTTGCTAAACTGTGTTTAACACAGACTGGAATACAGAATCTGAGCTATTCAAACAAGCAGTGAATCAAGTTTGGGAAGGATCCCAATAATTTTCTAGTCCTACCATCAGCTGAAAAGGTAGAGGATGATTTCTCAAACCTCATCTCCTCTTCAAAGAGACTCCTATTTGCTTTAGACAGAGCTTCTCCCACCCACCCACCCATGAAAACCACCAGTAAAACTCACTCCCATCTGAATTATTTCTTCCCTGGCAGAAATAATTTAAAACTTTATGCCCCATGTTCTGGATTGGGGGCTCTACGCTGGCAACTTATGTTTTAAAACCCTGCATTTAGGGGCACCGTTGTCTGTTTGGCCATGAGATGCTTCTAGTTTGGCCTTTAGGTGGTTCCAAAAGTATCTAGGAAACTTGTTCTTTCAATTAACCACCTAACTGAAGCAAAGTTGCCACAAAAATCTATGCCTCTAACCCTGTGGATTGTAGCAGTGGATAACAACTGTTCTTTATCATCTTTATGGTCACCTTTAAGGATCTGAAAATGGATTGTTATCAAGTAGTCATTTAACTGCCTTTTCTCACAGCCTAAATAGTCTTGATCCCTAAATGTTTCTAAATCTTTTCCACAGTGCCATTTTCTTCAGCTTGTTAGCATGCTTCTTAAATTGGACGTGTTAACCCAGTGTGGCCTAATTAATGGTAAAGTTTACAATTACTCCTTGTTACTTCTGCAAACTCATTCTGCAAATGTATAAACTAACTCACATGAAAGGCTCGTACTTTATTTAGAATTATTTTCACCAGAAGACTGAAGATGAGGGGGCAAAGGAAATACAAATTATGGTATTAGAACCACACTAGAGCCTTTTTGGGGAGAAACAAAGTAGAATACAAAACTTCTGCACTCAAGAATCTGGACCAACATGTGTATTTTTAAAAGTATATTATAATCAAAGAGATCCAAACTGACTTTATAAAAGCATAACTGGGATCATCAAGCATAATGCATAAATGATTCAGAGAAGAAAAAATGTATTTTATATACTGCACTGGTTATTATGGTCCCATCAACACTACACATTTAAAGCACTGCTATACCACTTTGAAAAACCATGACCTCCCCCAAATAATCCTGGGAACTGTAGTTACTGTAGTTCAGAGAGTTGTTAGGAGATCCTTCTTCCCTTCACAGAGCTACAATTCCCAGAGTCCCCAAGGGAGAGAGATTGGTTGTTAAAACCACTATTGAGAACTGCAGCTTTCCAAGGGGAATAGGGGTCTTCTAATGATTCTCAGCACCCCCAACAAGCAGTGGTATGGTACTGCTTTAAACATATAGTGCAGATGATGCCTTAAGCAGATAAGCAAATGAAATCTATTGAGATATATGTTGAGGGAGGCGGGGGACTAATTCTGCAAATTAGCAACTTTGTTTTATCCACCTTAATGTTCACTGGAATCTAAAAAGCAAAAGAGCCTACAGATTATCTCCACTACAAAAAAAAAGGCAACAATACATTCAAGAAGCAAAGCTTTCGTCCTGTCAGTCAATCAGAAAGCTAAAGGAATGATAGCACTACTAACGTTCAACAAATGACGTTTAAGGAAAAGAATTTCCTGAAAATAGCCTTCTGGCTTAACACCAAGTCATTCATTTGCAAAGGCGAGAATTATAAGAGGCATCCGAAGAAGATTTGCCCCAAATACATTATATAACAGAAACCACAGAAATATATTACTGTTCAGAAAATGATTTCTCCTTCATTGTTAGCCCTTGTATTCTGTCCCTGGATATTAACAGTTAATATTCTTCCACCTTGTAAAGTGACAGAGTAGTAGGGTTGCCATATGTCCTCTTTTTCCAGGACATGTCCGCTTTTTCTGGGGTAAAATATCTGTCCGGGTGGATTTTTTAAATTTGCCAAAATGTCTCTGGATACACTTTCTGGATGAGACATAGACATAACTGGTGGCTGAAGACTTGCTTTCATCTTCTCTTCTCCTGCCCCCCCCCAGCAATGTATCACAGCTTCTATAGCCTACATATAGAAGGGGTATTTAAAATGAGAGTCGTCATAGCATCCTCTTTTTTTGCTCTTCAAAGTATCGCAACTCTACAGGGTAGTAAACCAGAAGAGACCATTGTTAATAGATCCCCCGTCGGTGACTGTGTTCGTGTGCGCGTGTGTGTGTGTGTGTGTGTGTGTGTGTGTAAAAATTGCATTCGTAACAATATATTGTCTCTGGTTTGTCCTATAAATTACTTTGTGGCTTTAAAACTACAATAATAAACACATGTGCTGACATGATGTCAGTTCAACATTCCTACAGTGCTGATGACTTTTTTGACATGTGGAGGTTTTTTTTGGAGGGGGGGTTATTGGGTTGCTGTTGTTTTTATTATGTATTTTCTAGTTTTATTCTGTGAACTGCCCTGAGACCTGTGGGTAAAAGATGGTATATTTGTTAAACAAACAAACAAACAAACAAACAAACAAACAAACAGGTTTGAAGCATTTTATGATAAAGGCAGCTTAACATACTTATTTGCTTGTACAGTCAAAATATGGAATTAGAGGCCTGCTCAGTGTGGCTGCTCAAAACATCCTCTGTGGCATCAACACTTCACATGATAAACAATAATCAAGCCCTTCAAATTGGTCTCTTTCAAATTCACAAGCAACATATTACACAATTAGGATTTCTTCCTTATCTAAAATAGTCACTCATATAGTTCACCAGCCTGGATTTGCTGGGGGTTTTTTTGCTAATTTTCATTTAAATGGGTGAACCTGTGATTCTCCAGAGGTTGCTGCAGCAACTCTCATCAGCCCCAGTGAGAAAGCCCAATGGTCAGAATCTGGAGGGCCAGAGATTTTTTACCCCTGATATAAATCCTCCTAAATGACAAAGAAAGGAAGCAGAAGTTTTCCAAGCTGATTTGTTTTGTGCCTTGCTAGAACAAAAAGTAAAATGGGCAAATTATGAAATATGCCGACAAATACCGTACTTTTCCATGTATAAAACTAGGTTTTTTTTCTTTAAAAATAATGCCCCCAAAATGGGGGGGGGTCTTATACAAGGGTAGTGCATAGGGTGAACGTTTGACTGATTGCTGCCGCAGCTGTTAACCGCTATTGTGCATGTTATTGGTTGCTGTGTCAATGGGTGCTGTTGATTTGCTGACACTGCGGCAATTGGGCAGGCAATTGGCAGCTTCTGCCAGCGAGGGGACAGACGGGAGGCGGATTTTACAAGACGTGCAGGTGAGCAACCCCCCTAAAACCCTCTGCAAAAAAAGCTCAACAACTCAGGGCTATCCTCCACAAAAAGAGCTTAACAATTCTGTGCCATCTCCCCACATTCTCTTAGAGTCCCCCAAAATAGGGGGCTTCTTATACATGGGGGGGGGCGTCTTATAGACAGAAAAGTACGGTATGGCATTTGATTTATAGATCCTTTTGTGTATTCCCAACCTTTCCATACTGTTTAATACTATTCAGAAAAGTCAGTTTCATTTATCTAAATGGAAAAGCATAATGAACATTCATTGCAAAATATATTTCACATAAAGTACTCAGGCAAATATGCATTAACAAAATCGGGACATAATTCAAGCGCAGCTGCTGCACAAACTCCATTAATTTCAAACTCCATTGAAATAAATGGAGGTTGAGCAGTAACAGTGGTTAGGGTAATGCATCTTTAATTATATGTAAACAATTTTGAAATGAAAAAGGGCAGATAGCAAAACATTGCAACAAATAATTCATCCAGTTTAAATCACAAATGAAAGGCTGTGAGATGAAGGATAATGTATTATGTTATCTCCCTGCTTGAGAGATGCTCAAGTGAGTTAACATTATATAAGGAACTTGTATAACTAGAGAATCTTGTTAGCTGGGCTATCGTACTCATGTTCAGACCAGTGGGACGTGGGGGCGAACCATACTGAACTAGTTTAACAAAATGGCGTACTCCACCCTGCCTCGATCAACTTACCTCACATTCTCTGCCCACTCTGTTATCCCTTGCACCTACTGAAGGATTCAAAGCAATGGAAGGATTTGCTCTGTGGGCTTCACACAATAATATACAGTTGTACCTCGGGTTAAGTACTTAATTCGTTCTGGAGGTCCGTACTTAACCTGAAACTGTTCTTAACCTGAAGCACCACATTAGCTAATGGGGCCTCCTGCTGCTGCGCCGCCGCCGGAGCACAATTTCTGTTCTCATCCTGAAGCAAAGTTCTTAACCTGAAGTACTGTTTCTGGGTTAGTGGAGTCTGTAACCTGAAGCATATGTAATCTGAAGCGTATGTAACCCGAGGTACCACTGTATCAAGGAAATACACCTATGTTTGTGTGACTGCTCTTCATATATTTAGGTATTTTTAAATTAAATAGCAGCCACAGAGGCAATCAAGACAATGTGAAGGGTGGGTCCCTCCTTCCCCATGTCAAAGCCCACTACCCTAAAAAACCTGCTATTTGGCACAGGAGATGCTGGATTTGTTGGAAGTGCAGCAAAGGGGTTAACTACCAGCATGCTTCCTGCATGCCATAGTTTTAATACTTGTGGCCTCTCTCCTATCACACAATAGGAAAATAATAACATAAAAATGATGATGCAGTTTATTTATATGCTGCTTTTCAATGCAAATGCCCACCAAGCAGTGAGCAGTGCATTAACGTAGTACATGCAATAGAGTACAATAAAATACCATATATCAGTCAGTAAGCAAAACCATTTAATAACAAAAGCACCACATTGATTTAATAAATAATTATGATGATAAGAGTCAGAGGAGAACCTCCCCAGACTAGAAAATTAAAGGGCACTCTCACCAACCCTATATTCTATCCCACACATTTAGGTGCTAGAGACCTGAACAAAGAGAAAGACTTAATTGGTTTTAAAGTATAGAAGAGTAAGAAGTACCCCAGTTTAAGAGTACCCTAACTTAATCTTATCAAATTTAAGGGGTTAGAATTAAGGAACATGAATTACAATCATGTCGTTCACATACTGTCTAGCTTGGCCCAAAGTCTGGTTATGCAACCCTGATGTATTTTTCATACAAATCAAAGGACTGGTGTCCAGGGAATGTGGCCAAGAACTATTTGGGAGCTGCTACAGTTGGTTAGCCTGTTTGCAAGCTGAAGACAAGTCTTTTGAGTGACACATACCTAACAAGGAGAAAATCAAAGGTATTTCAGGGGAGGTTTGTCAACACAAGAGATTGTAACCAATTTTCCCCAGTACCAAATATTGCAGAATGAATGCTAGGAAAATGTGATATCACTGCAGCAGAAGAGATAACATCAGAAAGGATCTATGGATCCCTCACCATGAATAAGTAACAGATTTATTTCACAATAAAGCATAATTTAAAACCACTCTCTAAAAATGTCACATCAGAGGACCAAATCAACCATAACATAACAACCATAACATCTGAGCTCTTCAGATGCTTAGTTTTATTCCCTATTCTACTCAACAGCCAATGGAAAGATTCTCTTCTGTTGCTCCTGAATTTCACAACCATCAAGCCTCAAAGCTATCTGAGCCCCATTCACACACAAAAATCTGAGTATATCAGGCTTCATGCAAGTGTTAGCAATCTTTAGCTAGTAACAAGCCTGTTGACTGAAGCAAAACTGTATCACATTTTCTCTCTTCCCTTTCATACTTCCACTCTTTCTTTTATTCTTATTGCAAAAGGTAGAAAAAGATTCACCATAAGAAAACTTAAAAAGAGATTCAAGAAGAGTATCAGATGAAGGAGCTAAAATGTTTTGGTTGACAGAATTCATTTAGAAAAGTTAGTTGCAGTTTAGCCAGGTGTACACAACCAAGCTCTCAACAAAACTGCATATGCCCCTATTTGATGACATTACTACAAACACTATAGTTCCCCAGTCCTCTAAACCATTCTCATCCCACCTTCATCACATACACACATCACTCAGTGTTTCAGATCTCAATAACTATCCGCAAAGGTTGAATTCCAGACTCCCCTTTTCATATCACACAGTGCAAGGAGGCCCTCACCTGAGTTATGACATACTAACAGAAATCAAGTAATGATGCCCCATAACTTGATCAGTTTATGTATTACATAAAATGTTCAGTTTATGTATTACCTCAGTCAGGTGAGGGTTGGGGTTGAATCCACATTGGTTGCAGACCTTGTTGTGACACTGTGTACAGGTGTTGAAGTTTGGCTGGTTGGGAGAGGAGGTGAGTTCTGTTGTCTTGCATATAGGACAGAGTGTGCTGCTAGGAAGGGGTGCAATTTGTGGGACAGAATAAGGTGAGGTAGGGGTGCTGCCTCGATCCGGTGACACAGACGGTGAACGCCCTGTTCTCTGGCTCCTGCTGTCCACTTGGAGTGTCCTCCTTGGCCCATCAGCCTGTTGGGGGGTCTGCCCTTGGCTCCTCATCTCTCTTGTGCTTTCGCTGGTCTGAGCAGCCGGTTTTGGGGATGGGGAAGCTGCTCTCTGTCCAAAGGAGGGGTCCGATTGATCTGGTCTTCTTGGTGTGCTGAAACACATTAAATGCAGATGTCAACCAGGTTGCAGAGAATTGAGGTAAGATAATAGGCAAAACTGCCTTGACTATTTCCTCAGGATATACTTTGAAATGCATTTGAGAATCTCTGAGATTCAAAGTTAAGGGCAAGAAAATAAGTGTAAATAGATGTTTAGAGAAAATGATTGCCATCTTTACCTCCACCAATTTCTTAAAACCACAAGACATGGATATTTCTTCAAGATGCAATCTAACAAGTTGTAAATACAAGATTCAATTGTATTTAAAGTCAAAACAGCTAAAAACGTGTCCTTTCTTTCCCCCAAAGGCTATAACCTGAAAGGGGTGGGGCTATATGTCAAGTGTGCAGTGCGTATGGACTTGGAGGATGAGGCATACATTTTTATACAAATAAAAATAAACAAAAATTAGAACCAACAGAAATCAGGCATACTCAGTTCCAACTGGATATATTCCCACTACTGGAGAAGGCTGTGTGGTCATTTGCAATACCACTCTCAAGTCTTCATGCAAGCAAAGGAACTCATAGCCAGCTAGAAGAAACAAATCCCATCCACTTATGCTGTTTCTATGATAGAGGATAGGTAGATAATTCAACTGCTACATGGCATTATAAAAAGCAGTTTTTCTATTTTGCCAAAAATGGAAAGGTGTTTAAAATAGACTTCAAGAGCTGCTGCTTGTTCTCTATTCTAACTTAAAAATAGGTCAGCCGACTGCAAGAACATCTCTTCTTTAGCACACAAGCATGTATATATATTGTCATTCATTCTGGCTTCCCTTATTAAGGAATATTCCAAACCAGAATATCTAAATTCACCCATCCTCTTCCAAGTTTCTAGGGCAGGATCAAACATAGTCCTGGTCTTTTGGGAATTTAACCTTCTGAGGTTCACCAGGATATTATATTGCAATTTCATATTCTCTCATGTCTGAGTAATATTTATAAACTCCCTATCATACACTGGCAGAAAACTCTGCACTATTCATTCAGTGCTCAGTCCTGTAGATCAAATATGTTGGCTTTGTCCCAAATACTTTTTTGAATTCCTGTGTAACCAGAACTACATCAAAAACAGAAATAAATAATGCAGTAATATGTGTGTGCCAAACAATATTTTGTTGTGACTGGTTTTGAACATACTTTCCATAATCCCATCGTAAGAGTGTGATGGCCACAAGGGAAGGTGACTCTCTTAGCTGAAACACATTTACCCATCCTCAGGCTCAATCATTCTTTCATTTAAATATACTTTGAATTTTGATACAGCTCAAGTTGCATCTGAGTCATCTGCCATTTCCCTCTAGTCAGCTCCCCATTGCACTGGTAGCATCTGAGTATGGTTTGACAAAACAATGTGGGTGTTTCCCATGTAAGCACTAGTGGTTTTGATCAAGAGGAAGCAGGATAGGGGCAATGTGTTATCTGGACAACTCATATGCTGCCCAAATGATATGTGAACCAACTGCAGGAACATCAGCCACCATTGCAACTGTAACGTTTGAATCAGGCTTGATCTTCTCTGAGTCAAGTTAATATCGATCCAATCCCAAATGTGATGTATCCAATGATTTATGCCTGGGTGCTCTCTCTTATCCATGGCTAGAGGACAAGTAAGGAAAGGAGCAAAACTCAGCATATTTGAAGATACCTACAGAGAAATCAAAATAAAACCTTGCAAAAACACCACAGTGACACACACACACACACACACACACACCCCACCTTTGTCCGCCATTTGTACAGGAAGTTGCCACTGCCTATGGATTCCTGCCAGGCATACCTATGGTAAAACAAGCTACTGTCCATGTTGCATGTTCCTGCAGTATAAATTGTTTTTCTGTAGGGAAGCTATTATCAGAGTAGGAATATCACCTTATCCAACCCACAGATATGCAGTAGTTTGTGTCCAAAGGCACAAATATATTATTTGCTCCTAGCATAGATTTGGCATTGACAAGGCCAAAGTCTTCATGAATGTTTAATAAGCACTATAAATCTTTAGAATGCATCAATGACACTGTTTCATACTGTTCAAGTAGATTGCTTTAATGCATGCATGCTGTTCCGACCATACAATTCCTTGTGACTCTCACAGCAGAACTACACATTGTAAGAAACATAAGAAAAGGCAGCCTCATGTCTTCCCCGATAATCTGAAGGATTGTTCACAAAGACTTCTGAGTGATAGTGGCTGGCAGGGAGACAGAGCAGCAGCACACTGCCATCCTCACAGCAGCAGTGTCACTGCCACTTACCAGAAAGGCTCAGTGGTGGGGTAGAGGCAGAGGGCCTTTTGGGTAGTGGCTCCTGCCCTATGGAACTCCCTCCCAGCAGATGTCAAACATACAGCTATGTAATTTTAAATAGACATCTGAAGGCAGTCCTATTCAGGGAAGTTTTTAGTGTGTGATGCTGTGTTGTGTTTTTACTACTTTTTGTTGGGAACAGCCCAAAGTGGCTGGGTCAACCCAGTAAGATATATAAATAAACTAATAATAATAATAATAATTAGGAACTGTTGATGAAAATGACAAGTTATCTTTTAAAATTGTTTGTGTGGTGTATGCGTGTGCTTGTGCAAAAGATGTTAGAACATACGATAACCCTCTGTTTTATTATGTTGTAAAATGGTCACTACTGAGAAGGCCCTCTGCCTGATTCCCTGTAGCTTTGCTTCTCGCAGTGAGGGAACCACCAGAAGGCCCTCGGCGCTGGACCTCAGTGTCCGGATTGAACGATGGGGGTGGAGATGCTCCTTCAGGTATACAGGACCGAGGCCATTTAGGGCTTTAAAGGTCAGCATCAACACTTTGAATTGTGCTTGGAAACGTACTGACTGCGATCCCCAGCCACTGATATTCAGAGACATATTGTCTCTGATACTGGAGATAGTATACAGGCATTATGATCAGCAACAGCCTTATGCTCCATAAATTTGTCTAAACTCCTTTTAAACTCTCCAAGTTGATGGCTATTGTTTAATTTTGTGATAGAAAATTCCATGGTTTTAACTATGCAAGACAAGAAGTACTTTCAGCTTAATTGGATCGCCTGTTTCTAGCATTTTGACAGAGGGAGAAAAGCTTCTCTCTAGCCACTTTCAAAGTGAATCTATCACAGCTCTGAACATATTCATTATAACACTTGTAGCAGGTGCCATTTTAAGGCACTATTTTTGCTATTTTAATTGATTCTTAATTATCACTAAAATGTTTTTATGTCTATAAGAGAAGAACAGCACTATAATTGCATAATGCTACAATATTACTGTAGTATAGTTATAGAACTACTGGGTTATGTTGCTATAGAACTATATCTCTTTCATTAAAAAAAAACACCTGATAAAGTGTAATAAATCACTTGCCTTAGACAAGAATTTCAGTTTGCCTAATAGAAGGGCTGGTCCTGAATAATGGAGGATTTTAATGAGAAGTGTCTATACAGACTTGTGCTTCTAAACCAGTTCAAAAAGCAATTTAACAAGTACAGAATTTAACAAGTACAGTACTTTCCTACATTCCACTTTCCAAATCAAAACCCTGCCCTTTTTAAAAGACAGAAGAGGCACACCAAAGGCATCCAAACTTGTGGAGATGACCCTATTGTTCTCTTCTTCTAGAAAAAGTCAGGCTTTCTGGGGTCTGAGTAAAGACAGAAGAACGAGGTGGGCAATAGAAGATGTCAGTGATTGGGAGATGGCATCATGTGCATGTCCATAAAAATGTGTGAAAGATCTGGGGGCTGGCATAACTTTTATGTGAGGAAACGTTTTAGCTCTGAAAAATATAAGCAAAGGGAAGGACATTGTAATGGGTCTAGGGGTTGCTCGTGCGTAAGTTGCCACCACTCCTGGCTAGGTTACCTGGTTGAACCCTTTCTGACTGGACAGCCTCTAGCTTCGTGGCTGTCTCAATCGCTGGCAGAATCCGTCAGTGGGCGTTTCTTGAACTTCTTCCAGCACAAAAGTTCTTTGACGCCTAGTCTCCGCCTAGTCTCCCTGTGCGGAAGCCTTCTGCGCAGGGAGGGTGTGGGCAGCGGAGGACCCGTACTCTCTCCGCTGGTCTCCGGCAAGGAGTCTTGGAGCCTCCTCTCCGATTCCCCCATCAGCCCCCCTTCTCCACTGGTGTTACGCTGATTTCCTTCCCCAGCAGATGGGCTGCCTCTCTCCCTACTGGGACCCTCTCCAGCATCCCTCTGGAGCCTTCCCTCCGCCTCTAGCTCCGATGGCAGTTCCCTGACAGACCTGATAGAAGTATATGAAATTATTGGTATGATTAAAGTAATATGCTTTATTTATTATCAAAAGCACATTAACATTCAAATCTGAACAAAAAATGCAACATAAATTAATGAACTCAAAATAAAAATTTGCCCATCACTTGCAAGAAATTCAAAGTTACAATTTATGTATGTTTACTAAATTCAAGGAGGGATTACACCCCAACTGTGTACTGAATTGTACTTTAAAATAATAATTTTTGAAAACATGTTTCCCTCTAGCCATTTAAGAGTCACACAGGTAGTAGGGGAACACTTCCATACTCCACCTTAAACATTAATGCTTCCTCCAGTTTGGCCTATCTAACCCTTATATATTTTAGGTATTAAATTGGAATTTGGATTAAATTATGTTCTTATTATCAGTGTTCATGCAACCACTGAATGGTTCTAATACACTGTAGAGAAGCACTTTAAAGTCTTGATTACTTATCTTCAGTTTGCCAACTATCATTAAGAAGGTAATGTAGTGCTTCTTCTCAACAAGGGTATTTTTCAGATTTAATTATATCACACCAGCTACTATAGATCCACCACACTTAATTCAAGAGTGCGCCAAAACTGCATTTCCATAAGCATTTCAGTATTGGCATAAACTGTGAATTGGCACGAACTGTATTATCTCAAGGGGTTACACTGATTTAAAATCAGTTTTATTATATAAAAATGGGGAAACGTTTTGTGTGGAAACCAAGTTTCAAAGGGACCTCATCACACCCAGATGTTCTGAACACAGCAGAGCATGAAAGGGAAGCAAAATGGAACAACAGCTCTGAGGGGAAGCTCTCTGAAGACTGCCCAAAAGTAATAGTTGCAATATAAGCCAGACGTGACAAGGGCAACGAAGCTGAATTTCATGGGAATGCTCTAGCAGGAAGGTATGGCTCAAAGCAGGGGATAAAAGAACACAAGAGGATTGCAAAAGAGGAACTCTGTTCTTCCATAAGCCAACTTTTAAGGCCTCAATATATTGGGGTGTCAGCAAAGTTCTCTGACCTCTGGCTCAAAAATAAACCTCTGAGGCCTTGTTAAAACAAACAAACACCTCAAAGGAGAGGCAAACTTTACTACCCTAGACATTATCATCCGGCTAGGATTAAAATCCAAGCTGAAGAAGAGATTCACGCACATCTCTGCCAGTCCTTGTGATCCCTGGAAGCCCTCCCAGCTGGCCTCCACTCTCCCAAATGCACTCCTCCTTCCATCTGCTGCATTCACCTTTCAAGCAGTGATAGGAGCAGGGCGATGGTGCATGGGGAGCGGAGACTATTTCCCCCTTTCCCTCCCTCCTTTTATGCTGCTCCACTGCAACTGCAAAGGCCCATGGGAGAACTACATCTCCCATGATCCCCTGGGATTTGGCACCAGCACACTGCTACCCACCATGTTAGAGCAACAGAAAAGGGAGGAAACTGACTCCACTCCCCAGGCACGCCACCACTGCTGCTATTGCAGTAGGTTAGTTTGGGAAGATTGATGGAGAGATGTTTGAGGACTACAAGGGCATTCTTCCATGCCCTTAGAAGACTCGGAGAAATTATGCGAGAGCTTCCAAATGTTTTCTGAAGATTTTGGATAATGCACAAGGTAATTCAAAGTGAGCTTGCAAGAGCTCTAGTGGAGCTCACCAGACATACTGAGGTCAATAGGACAAGCCTAGACTCTTCAAAGAATTTGGGGGAATAAACATGACATATTTCAAAATTACTTCATCGCATTTCTAGGAATCGTCATCATTGATAACTTATTATCAAGAGTGCTTATCATGAACTAAGCACTTTACGAGGAACATAAATTTACAACAATCCAACCCAGCAGGATTACTATCTAGTAACAAGGCTTAAAAATATTCAAACTCTTAAAGCACCAATATTAAGTTTCTAGGTGCCTGGATGATTAGTTATCTGGGATTTCTTCCAGCCTTAATTATATGTATCTAGTCATAGGCATAAAAATATGCACAAAAAAATATGGAAGCAGAAATAGGAAAGAATATATTAGTTAATTACTAATCACTTGATTTCAGGACTGGCTACACAACAAAATAAGTGTTAAGCAAAGGGTGCACTAATCTATACGGCAGCACAATGTCACAACCCATAACATTTCAACAGCATAGCAGGAAACGTGCTCTGGAACTTTAAACAAATTTGCCTGTGAAAATGTTTGGGACTGAGATTTAAATAATTCAGGCTGCAATACTTCACTCACTTACCTGGAAGTAATTTCCATTGAACTCATTTGGACTTATTTCTAGTCGACATATATAGAATTGTGCTGTCAAGACCTTAAAAATCAACATAAAACTGAATTCACTGAAGTATAAGGAGAACACCAAACTAGGTTTTCCCGATGATAGTAGAGACTGTCCTAGAAGACTGAGGGACTAATTAAAATTAATGCAACGTAAGCCTACAGCTTCATTTTACTGGAGTTACATGGTTGCAACTGAAAACAGCAGCCCTGCATCTCTACCTTCTCTCATAATTTGTCAAACATAAACACAGGATGTGATGCCATGGCTCCCCAAGTTTCCCCATCTCCACTCTACTCTACTGGCTGCTACTTGCAGAACACTCATTGTCCACAAACGTGCTCACATTTTGATAAGCATATGAGCAATGCTTGACAGAGCACTTGTGATTGTCTTTGGTCCAGTGCTGGCTTCTGAAGACACTTCCACACATCAAGCAGTCTCATTTTCAAAGCACCTCCATGTGAGAAGAGAAGGGTCAGACTACATAGGAAGCTGCCTTATAAAAAGTAAGACCAGTAGCCCATCTAACTTAGTTTTACACTTACTGGCAGCAGTTTTACTCCAGAATTTTAAACAGGATCTTATTCAACCTTCCCTGGAGATGCCAGAAACTGAAGCTTGGCCATTGATAGCAGCTCAGCCTGGATAGCTCAGTTTGTTAGATTGTGGACCTTCCATATGAAAAACAAGCGCTTTGCTGCTAAGCTACTGTAGTACCAAAACTTCTGGATCATTAGTCATGCCAGCTGGTTTGTTTACTCCAAGCTACTCCCCTGACCTGCTGGGCAGAGAGAATGAGGAGACACAAAGTTGCATTTTTTTGTAGTATCCATGCATTTCCAGTAATATGTCCAAAATTACCTGTGCCATAAAAGATCACCAAAATATATTCCCCCTTTTCAGGTAGTTCCTAAAGGCACTGTCTTGATTCACAAGTAAATTTAGCATTTATAGTAATTTACAGCGTAGGCTGGTATACTTAACTACATATTATTTATTAAATCTATAACAATATTCTACTCTCTTAGGAAATAATACACAACACATCTAATAAATAGCTTAACTCTTTGCATACGATTTACATCAAGCAGCATTAAGGCATTTGTTTGAAATCAGTTTCAAGAAAGAATGAAGTGTGGGTTTCCTTCTCTCAAACATAATTTCTGTTTACCTTCCATGCAAGAACCCTTACAGAAGCATTTACTTCCAGGTCAAATGCCCAGCCATTGCTAGTTATCACTGGGTGGATCATTATTTTTCCATAAAATTGGAAGCAAGCCTTAATGGTTCTAATCCTGCTGAAGTTATGGACAACCAGACAGGTGAATACAAATACTGCATCCAAAGATATATCCAGACAATCCAAATAGTTTGTATGAGTATTGCAATGCGAGGGTGATTGCATATCCAGATGTACATCCCCAGCAGCAATGTGTGGAAAAGGCTGCTTGTATGTGTTGATAACGCTTGATGATTGAAGAACATGTTTGTTGTTTGATTGGTATAAATATTCATCAACTGAAAACTGGGGAAACTGCAGCATTTAAATAGTTAGAGGGCATAAAATGGGAATGAAAAAAACATTTTGGCGGGCTGAGTGACTGGTCCTGGCAAGATACAATTTGGCATCTTCTTAAGCTAGGAGAAAGGTCCCAACAGATCTGAAGTTCTGCCAGTCCCTGGCTCACAGCATCAAACTAATTTTCTATTGTGTCATATTTCTAATGCTTGTTTCGCAAGGAGGCAAATATTTTACCCATGCTTCATTGTTTACAGAGGACAGTAATATTTAACTCAACGTATATGATACTGAGTCACATGCCAGGTTTAAAAAAAAAATCAGAAGAGATGCATATTATTATTATTATTTTAAAAATCAAATAAAACCTTCCCCTCCTTTTTTTAAAACCAAGAGCATGATTCATCCTGTCCCATCACCAGAACCCTCAAGAGCTGTTTATGGGTACTTCAGTGTAAAACATGGAAGGGCCTCATATTCACACCATCTCAGTGCGCATCGAAGGAAAAGTCAGCTTTGGGGGGGGGAGGACTTATGGATTGCTCTCATACAACCACAAGAGCAAACTTGGTGGTGGTGTTTGTGTTCTCTCCCCACCACACACACAGAAAGGCTAACAAAAAGCAAATGTCAATTTATCAAAAACCAAAATCAACTTAAACAGACCATGGTGAGGGAAATAGTACAATAGTATAAGTAACGAGCTGCTGAAATATCTAATGAAGGATGAAATGCCTAAAAGAATAAAGAACAATTAATAAACCCAGGACAAAACAAAGTATATCAGATTAATTTCACTATTTTATCCATACTCCAGAAGTCTATTTTCTTCAGCAAAGTAAGTTGAAGTTCTTGAAACTATGTGTCATGGAAACTAATGAACAAAGAAAACTGCAATGATTAATCTTTTTTAAACTTTAAGTGTATTTGAGATATACTGTCATGAACAAAATGGAGACCAAAGGAATAAGTAGAATTCCTTTAAAACAGATACATGAACGCTTAAAATTCTTAACAAAGGAATTATTAATATTGCAGCCAATTAAGAGTGAAGTTTCCTATCAATTATTAATAAAGAGTCAAAGACATATTACAAACACAGGTGAAGTACTCGCTGAGTTTTGGACGAATGCCCAAGTTCTTTTCCACTAACTCCTAAGGTGGCTCTTGAAGTCAATAAATGAACCATTTGAGCCTTCCAAAATGAACTGTGTTTAAGGGAAGATGGTAAGCTGGCGACACTCTTTCTTGTTCTGCTCAAAGGGTTGATACTGCCTTGAGAGAGAGAGTATGGTGACAAGACTTTGGGCAGTATGCAGTTATTTTAACAGTGCAATCGTATCATACGTTATGTCCACTGGAAGAGAATCGGGTTGCTCCTAAGCCCCTTTGAACAGAAGGTAAGCAAGCCTAGTCAATTCATGCTGGCTGGCATTGCCCTATGGCTGTGCCAGGGTTATCTCATGCTAATGTAGCTGCTGTGAGGTCATGACAGTGTCAGCAGAAGGTGCAATGATATACAGAGTTGGGAGGCATGGCAGAGAAGAGTGAAGCTAAGGAGGTGTACACATTACCACTTACTCTGCACCGGTGCACTCCCACTTCTACTTTGTCAAGCTGCGTACACACCATGCTAGCCATGAACCAGATTGATCCTGTAATTTCTTGAGAAATACTGTTGCTTGATGTGTTTGTTTTTTCTTAAACCAGCTTCAATCCAATTAGAAAACTTAAGTTGCATTCACTTCATACTTAAATCAGATGTGTACATTTGAAGCAGCTGCCATGGATGCACAGATGAGTACGAGTGCACGTGTGTTTCTGGGTGGTTTTGGGGTTCAGGAAACCAAACAGTTCATGCATGCTTGTCCCTTTCTGATGTGGTTACAACAGTGTGCAAATGTGACTGGAACTTCATTGGGGATTAATGACCTTGCTGTGATTGAAACTGCTAAGGTGAGCTTAGGTGTAGTCTGAGAGTCCTATGTTTGCTTAGAGGTTACTTTTGCCCTGCTGCCAGTGTAACATGCTAGTCAAGGCACATGACACAACACAAACAGAATGCAACCTCTCCAAATAGGTATATTTGCCAAGGAGCTAGTGGGGGGTGGAGCTGTGGAATAGAAGAGCATCTACATCACTTCCCAACATCCACATCACTTTATCAGCCACTTCCCCCCAAAAAAACCTAATGATCACTTAGTTACAGGCACTATCCATTGCAGCTGCTATCTATTATTTATCACTGTCTTCATGTCTCTCCGCAGGCCACCAGTCAGCCATTCAACATGCACAAAGACAAGGGTTAGAGTTAGCAGTAGTGACCAGCAGAAGCCAGGGCTCCTGAGCCTTTCCAGACAACATGACAGGCAAAAATGTAGTGTGTTTAGTCATGTACCGCAAGTGGTGTACAGGAGTGGTGAGAGCCATACCTGCTAGTCCTAAGGCAAAGCATTGCAGAACTGCAGAGCTGGAAGGAGCCTCAAGAGTCATCTAGTTCAAGTCCCTGCACTGCAGGAATCACAGTCGAAATATATAAAAAAATAAAAAATTGTCCAGTAGCACTTTAGAGACCAACTAAGTTTGTTCTTGGTATAAGCTTTTGTGTGCATGCACACTTCTTCAGATACACTGAAACAGAAGTCACCAGACCCTATCTGAAGAAGTGTGCATGCACACAAAAGCTTATGCCAAGAACAAACGTAGTTGGTCTCTAAGGTGCTACTGAACAATTTTAATTTTTTTATATATATTTCGACTGCGTCAGACCAACACGGCTACCTACCTGAATGCAGGAATTGCAGTTAAAGAAGCCCTGACAGATGGCCACCCAACCATTCTTTAAAGGAGAGTCCACCACCTTCCAACCAGCTCTTACCATCAGAAAGTTCTTCCTAAGTTTTGTCAGAATCGCCTTTCTTGTAAGGAGAACAAAAAGCCTGGCAATCCCATTCCTTTGTAATGCTGATAGAACCTGCTCCACAACTAAATCTGTTTATGCCTGTTTCAACTAGGTCTCTATGTTTATTTTATCCAGCTTATGGAATGCCCCTCTTCATCTTGTTTTTCACATCAGCAGTATTCATGGAGGGATACACTGACTCAGAGCTTGTCCATACTTCCGTTTGTGCCATGCCTAGAAAGCACGGGTCTGAGCGGTGTCCCCCCCGCCCCACTCCTTTCCAAGTGGAAAAAACCCCCTCTTTAGCAACAGACTGGAACAAATGGCAATCCGGGAAAATCCCAGACTGGGTGTTAAAGAGCAGTTCCCCCCTCCCCCGGGTGGGGGAGAAGCAGTGGGACAAGAGGAAGTGTGGATAAGCCCTCAGTTCATATACAACACTAAATCAAACCTTGGCTTAGTGCAATTCAACAAGGGGGTGTGTGCAGGTGAGTCTGCAGGCTCCCAGAGAAAAGACTGCAGATGATTTGCTCTTACTCTGGTCTGGCTGCTGCTGCACTGCTATTCTTTGGAGACTACTGTCACTCATAATTGTTGCTGATGGTGCCAAGGATTCAAATCCCTGTCTGAAGGAAGGCCTGGAGAAGTTTGGGCATCAATAGTTTGGAGTACATGGTATCAATAATATTGTACTTTCTGTTTTATGGAAACCACCCATCCAACTACTCTGCACCTGGATGGATAGCTGGGAAACTGTCAGGTGTGCACACAAGCCGTTGCCCCCAACCCCGTCACTAGCAGAGCTGTTGTCATGTTAGGGAACAGCTGTGTGTAGAAGACGAGGCAGGCAGAGGGCTGAGAAAGAGGTGAAAGATGAGTGTTGACAAATATCAGTATTCCACTTTTGGATTACTGTGTAAATTCTGGTTACATCTCAAAAGAGGTATCGTGGATTTAGAAAAGCTGTAGTAAAGGGCCACCCAAATGATCAGGCATCTGACTGACGATCAAGAAAAACAGGATGCTGCACCAAACAGGCCTTTGGTCTGATCCAGTAGTGTCTTTCTTACTTGCCTTAGGGCCTGAGGAAATCAACCACAGGGGAGATAGGGAGCTAAGGAAATGAGGTACTGAGAAAGAAAAGGAGAAAAACACTCTAACGAAGTTGGAAAGTAAAGGAGAAGCTCTCTCTATGCTGCTGGCAGGAAGAAGCAACACTGGAGTGTTACATATTGAGGAGAACAAGGAAAGCAGGGAAACAAAGGAGCAGAGAGCCAAATGTGAAGGGAGCTGAGAATCCTGATGTTTGAGGAAAGTAGGACACAGTAGTCAGTGGCCTGAAAAAAACAACAGGAAACTATCAAGAACTGCGGATGGTGAATGCAGAAGTATGGTGCGTGGAGAGGAAGGAATCTATGGAGGCAATGAGATTGAGATCTAAGCAGAAAGATCTGGGCTATAAAAAACTGCACATGATGCCTGGGGACAGGAGGAGCACTATGGTGTTGACAAGATGGGAGGCTGCAGAACTGTAGTCCAGGGTGCACTGGCTGATGTTAGTTTGAATGAGCCAGACAAATATTTGCAGATCTATAGAACAGAATTGTTTTACTAATGTCATTAAAAAATAGTAATCCTCTTTTAATGGGAGCAAAAGCACAAAAGAAAAACATCCTAGTGCAGAATGTAACTCAGGAATAAATAATGCTTGATTTCCCCCCCCCCCATCATGTATTTCTTACTAGTCTACATTAAACATAGACATCTTTCAAAGGGTACAAGTAAACTACTACCAATATAGCAAAATGCCACGTAATGACTGACAACAATTGACAGCTATGCTGCCTTTCTCAGAGAATAAAGAGTAGCAGTAAATTTTTAAAAACCGCATCAGCTTGCAGTAGCTACAGATTATGGCTGCTGTGCAAAGTAGAGCACATAACTAGAAAACAGCTAATTTTTTTCTCCAATTTTTGGCTCATAGAATTCTGTGATTTCTGCCATGTGTATTTTGAGAGTAAAATTTCATGCACCATGGTATTGTAGCAGGACTATTATTGCAGTGCACAACAATTATGGTGTGAGCTATTTTCTCCTCATATGATGAAGCTTAAAAACATAAAAAGTCTAGGACACCTGTACATCCACTAGTTGCTCACATACATAGTACATAAACTCCTAAATTTCTAACACCTTTTCAGAACTTCAGCCCTTCAGCTCCAGGAGCTCCTCCACCCCTTCCTTTTTTGTCACCACTACAGCAGGGTGAGGAAAACTTCTCAAAGAGCTCTCACACGTGGAACTACACCCAGGAAGACCCATTTCAAACAGAAGGCTGTGCTCGCAAAAGGGTCCACATTTTGCTTTCTACACAAATTACCAAGCTCATGCTGTTCTGCCCTATGTGAATAATTTGATACGTCTTCATAAATAAAGCCTTAGTAAAAGTCAGATTCAAGCTCATGAGCCTTCTTTTCTCAAGTAATTTTTAGATGCACTCACAGATTAATTATCAATGCCCTCTGGCAGTTTTCTGTAAGAATTAGAGTAACCTGACTGTGAAAATAGAGTAGCTTAGAGATTCTTTAAAAATTAAGTGGTTTATAAATGCTTTTTATATAAATAGGATAGCAAAAAAAACATGGTGGGGGGAGAAGGAGTGGGGAACATTTGGCCCTCCGGATGCTGCTGAACTACAAGTCCCATCTTCCCTGGTCATTGGCTATGCTTGCTGGGGCTGTTGTAAGGGATGTACATTTGCACTACAAAACCGAATGTGCCTCAAGATGGAGAAGCTGGACAATTGTAGCAGGGCTTGATAGCTGCACATTAAAAATCCTTCTAAAATGCCAATTTGCTACAGCAGCTGTTGCACCGCCCAAATAATGACTAGCCCTCATGAAGGTGCACAACATCCCCAAAGTCTCCATGGCCGTTACATTCCTGGTAAGAACCAGAGGAACTGCAGACTCCAGTAGAAGCAGGGCAATGCTCCAACATCTTGCGTGTTCACTCCCATGATCAATTGTTACTTGACACACTGTTTTTGAGCCCTCCTCTACTTCTTCTTTTTTAACCTGACTACCCCCAAAGGGCTCAGGGTTGCTGACACCACAATAAGAAAATCAGTCTTTAAAACCTCAATTAAAAGAAATACCAACAGCTAGAAAATCCATGCACCATTTACACGTTGGTCCCTTAGGACAAGAAGCTCAAATTAGATTAAGATGGTCATTTATCACATCAGCTCTAGTTTTAATACATGTGTGTGCTTATCTTGCAGGCAGTCGATCGGTTTGGTGAAACACAAACACTCAACAGACACTGGTCAAAGAAGGTTATGGACTCCCCACAAGAAATGGAATATGCAAGGACATAGAAGGCAAGGCCTTCCAAGGGAAAGTGGACAGTGAGAGAACCTCAACTGCACACACAGGCACACTGTATTCCAGTGATTTGTGACCAGTGGCTCATATCATGCACACCATACATGGCGTCCCTCCAATAATCCTGGGGTGTGTAGTTTCTTAAGCAGAATTGTAGCTCTGCGGAGGTGCACTATAGTTCCCAGGATTCTTTGGGGGAAGCCGTATGTTTTACATACACACCAAAGAGCTCAAAACTAAAGCGTTCTAGCCCAATGGCTTCTTTAAACGATCACATTTGTTGTACTCTAAATATAATTCTGCTAAATAAGAATTTTTAAATAATACATAAAGTCATTATGTCTATACTAAAGGAGACAAAACATATGCTAAAAACATTCTTGTTTAGACAAGCCTACCCAGAGGCTTAGAAAGTTGGAGTAATTTTATTCCTTTTTTTTTTAACTTTTGTACTGTATGTTTTAAAGTAGGGTTGTAATTTTTTCTTTGTTTTATTTGTTTGTAAACCACTTTGAGGGTTTTTTAAAAAACAATCAAGCGGTGTATAAATTATAGGGAATAAAACAGCAAACAAACATGCTAACAATGGAATTAGACAAGGTTTCAGGATAGGGAAAATTGCATATTTTCCCACACTGCAGTGTGCCCCTGCCCAACCTGGTCGTTCAGTAAATAATAAAATAAATAGTAGACCCACACTGGATCTCTTTAGTGCTATAAAGCACCACCTCACCTTGGTAGCTCCAAATAATGGTAGAACAATCCTTTTCTTCTCAGATTGGGTGAAGCCCTGAACAAGAACACTCATTAGGGACTGCAAATACACTGCAACATTTTGCTGTTGAGTTCACACTTGTGTACAGTGGTACCTTGGGTTACGAACTTAATTCGTTCCAGAGGTCCGTTCTTAACCCAAAACCGTTCTTAACCTGAGGTGCGCTTTGCTAATGGGTACTCCTGGTGCCGCTGCGCTGCCACGACTGCGCGATTTCTGTTCTCATCCTCGGGCAACGTTCTTAACTCGAGGTACTACTTCCGGGTTAGCAGAGTTTGTAACCCGAAGCGTTTGTAACCCAAGGTACCACTGTACTAGTAATAGGGTTGCCAGACCTCCAGGGCTGACCTGGAGTCTGCAGGTTTGCCTGCCTGCCTCCAGGTGGCAGGTGGAGGGCTTGAATCTCCAGGTGGACTTTGAAGTCATAGACTGGGAAATGAATTGTACAACAAATGGCCCAAGAAGCTACTTCTTTGAGTCAGTGTAAACTGTTCAGAGCTGTGCTCAACCTGCACATCAAGCAAGTTTCTAAAGAGCCGTATTTAAAACACTGTCACAAACTTTATCAAAGCTTGTCTTCTCCTGCTACAAGGGCCCGAGGTAATCCTTCAAGAAGGCCCTGATTAATGCAAGCGACCCAATGGTATCATGAAGTGGAAGGAAAAACAAGCCTTCAGAAAAGAAGGAAGACAGGAACCATGCATGGCAGCACCCAATTCATTTCTAAAGTGAAAAGAATGTCAGCGCCTAGGATTTGAAGAAAATGAAGATAATACAACTAATAGGAAGATGAGCAGCAATTATTGTGTTTCCTTGGACTAACAACATTAATCGACTAATCTGTGCAATTACCTGATTCATTACTTGATCACAGATTAATTGCAGATTCGTTTTAATCTGGTCAGCCATCTGGACCTGACTGATTCTTCTACTGCCACCTTGTACTTTCTGCAACCACCTCTATTTCTGCCTGCTACTGAAGTAGTGCTGCTGCAGCAACTATTTTACATTTATTTAGTGCTACCACACAGAACACAGAAGTGACATGGCCCCTGTCCAGAGGGTTTGCAATTTTAGTGATGTGAAAGGGAATGGAGCTGGCAGCAGAATGCTCAGGAAAAAACAAGAGGAAGCAGTTTTCCAGGAAAGGCACTGTGAGTTTACACAATAAGAATGTTGCTGCATATGCAATGGTATTTGGATCAGCAGACCCTGTACAACGTGAAGCTGAATGTGTGTTTGTGAATCCACAATAGACATACAGTACAGAGTACTGTAGTCAATGAGGTGCTCCAATTTGCTGCTCCAAACCATGGCACAAATATGGCAAAATACTCTGCCATGTAAAGAGCATTAAATGGCCTTAGATATTAAGGTGTGAAAGAGAAAGTGTTGGCTTGATGTGCAAAGGGAAGATGGCTCCAAAATGGTCATGTCATTCACTGTGTCCATGGAAGGAGGAACAAAACCCACTTTTATTATTCTTTATTGGCCTGTATACTGCTCAGTGTCCAAATTGGCTTCTAAGCAGTTCACAAAACATGAAAGCAAAATATACAAAACCAATTAAAATCTGTAACTAGCATCAAAAAGCAATACAACAGTAAAAACAGGAGATCTAGACCCACACCAAGTGAAAAATGCCTGTGTAAAGTGGTGCCAATACAGATGGGGGCCTCTCAAATTTCAACAGGGAGAGCTCCACAGACCAGGTACAATCAATGAAAAAGCTTGTCTTCATGTTACCACAAGGTAATAATTACTGGGCAGCAGCAAGGCTAATCGGGTTCCATTTGCTTATCTTACTGCCCTTATAGGGCAAGGGAGGGGAACTTGGTATTTCAGGAAACTTGACCCAGAGTTGTTTAGGGTTTTATATGTAAGTAACATAAAGCTGGCCTGATAGCTAATAGGCAACCTCAACATTGGTATGTTATGTGCCTGATAAGGAGCGCTACTGCACCAGCTGCAACCTCTGGATCAGAAATAAGAAAAACCCCATACAGAGTACACTGCAGTAGTCTAGATATGTGTCACAGTAACCAAGCTGTCCCTTTCCAGGAAAGTCACCAGCAGAGTGGTTCTCTATAGAAGAGTTCCCTCCAGAAATCTGTGGACTACAATTCCCATAACCCCTGACCACAGACCAAACTGGCTAGGGTTGATGGGAGTTGCAGTCCACAACACCTGGAAGGACCCACATCCAATGTATATTTCCTCCCCCATTGTGATATATGATATATATGGTACAAGCTCTCAAAGTTGCAAAATCACTTTCTGTTTGGAGGGAGGTTGCCTAAGGTTATAAAGGGGCTCTCTGGAACGACAACAAAAGATAAGCTCCACTTTTAGGGAGTTCACTGAGGCAAACAGTGAAAAGCATCCTGTATCACAGCAGAACTTCATAAACCACATATTCTACAAGGGCCAGATCCAGGTTTGTGATGAAGCAGGCATCCATTTTCAACTACTGCCAGTTTCGGTCTAGGTATTAGCATGGATGCATGAAGCATCATGCTTAACACATACCTGTTAAGTATCTGTTCCGCAAATATGCCTAAACTTTGGTTCTCAAAGCATAAATGATCTTCCAAAAGATCTGCATGTAGCTGGATTGTTTTAAACATCTCAGATCTCAATAACGCTGATTTGGCACTTGAAAACAGCAGCTTAAAGATGCTGGGCAGAACTTAACTAATGAACTCAGTCAGGAGAAACCCTGTCGAGGGGCTTCTGCTTGCACAACATGACTCCCTCCCCCCACCCCCATCCCCTGCACACGCCCCACAGTTGGCTATGGGAGGTTCAGGAGAATCTACAGAACAACACTCAAGGGAAGGGTGACTATTCCATCTGGCAAGCCAAAATGTTTGCACAGATGGAACGTTCAACATAGTGTGAGGTTGAATTTTACCCTATGTCTCCCTCCAATCTCTTCTTTACCAGACAGTTTGTCAAATATAACCATAATTGGCATTTTAAAAACACACATATTCTACGAAGTCACTAGCCATAAAGAAAATGAAATTATTAGCCTTCAAAAAGGTACAAAGATTATTGGGTTATGTACCGGTAAATTCACATTTCTTATTGGTAATGCAACACTCTTGACACAAAGCACTTCATTCTTAAGTCTTTTACTTTTAATATTTTCCTGTCATTAAAACCAATGTGCCTTTAAATGCACATGTATGGCTGAATTGTGTCCAGCATCGCTTAGTAAGTTATCTGCTTTCTCTTCGCTGTTTTAGCTATTAAGACTTAAATTTCAGTACACAAAGTTGAATGAGTCCTCTATAATATTCCAAATTCCTTTTTCCACGACATCCCTCTTCCAACCATCTTCCAAATACTTTCCCCAAAAAAACTGTTTCAAAAGTTTATAAAAACATATTCACAAACTGGTAACTCCTCATTTTATATGAAGCTAATTCTATCAACCCACCTTATAGGGCTGTTTTCACTAAGAGGTGCTTTAAACACATGATATGCAGTTTATGCTTGTTAATTAAAGTTTTATCATCATCACAGCCTTGTATATTTTATACCTGCATTTCAAAATAAGTATGTTCCAATTAATCCATTACATTTCTGTTCTTCCACCAAGAAAGTACTGGGGTTTCCACTAGTTTGTTATGTTAGGTACAGTAAGAGATAGTTAGTGAATGATCAAATGTCATGCATTAACCCTGGTAAGCAGGGATTCCAACAAGACTTCCCATGTTCATCTAACATTTTACACTGCACTTCTCCCCTGCTACCTATAAAAAGTAAGAGGGTTTAGGTTTTTTATATTTGACGGTTTATTTCTTTGTTTTATCTGCACTTTTGTTGCTGTTATTAGTTGTATTTTTATAGTGAAAAGTTCAATAAAAACTAATGCCTAAAAGAGAAAGAGGGCAGAAAAGCATTTGGTTAAAGATTACTGCTGAATGCTACTGAGATGATAGGTTTGATCATGTGGGAAAAGACAGCTTAACAGTAAAACGCATTAAGAAACTGGAAAATGCATTTTAATCCCAGTGACACACTTGAGTTTTATACATAAAGTGCAGTTGTATGTCTTACAAGTGATCTATAACTGAGATTTCAGAAACATGAAAGACTATGACCCAAACATGTGCTGTATCCATTTCATTGTGAAGTGATATGAATCAACTATTTTTGACTCCTGAATTAGATACTAACTAGAGATTTGCAACCAACCTGGTTTATTCAAATCAAAATATTAAATAGGCACCACACAATCCCATCAGTCTCTGACTCGCTGGCTCCTTTCCCCGCCTATTCCCAGGAGCTTGTAACAGGAGCTTGTTACTCAGCTCTTCTCCCACTCCCACTCCCCCTTTGGCTCCTACTGTTCTTAACTTCCATCTCTCTTGCAGCCACCTCAATTCATCCTTTCCTCAAACCCCTCCCTCTCAGCCCAATGAATTCTGTGTTTCTCTAACTCCAGCCATCTGCCCTCACGCCCCCATTCCATGGCACCAGCTCAAGCTGGGGAGTGTCATTGCCAAGAGGCAGGGGAAAGACATGTTCAGCCCATTATGAAACAATAGATAGATAGATAGATAGATAGACAGACAGATAGATAGATATACAAACAGCCTTAGCTGCTACAGCAGGAGTGACAAGAAGCCTGCAGCTTCCAGAAGGTCAAGGCCGCACCTGTAAGGTCAAACAACTTCCAGTTATGCAGTACAGTGGTACCTTGGGTTAGATACACTTCAGGTTACATACACCTCAGGTTACAGACTCTGCTAACCCAGAAATAGTACCTCGGGTTAAGAACTTTGCTTCAGGATGAGGATGAAATTGTGCAGCGGCCACGCAGTGGCAGCAAGAGGCCCCATTAACTAAAGTGGTGCTTCAGGTTAAGAACAGTATCAGGTTAAGAACGGACCTCCGGAACAAATTAAGTACTTAACCCGAGGTACCACTGTACAGCCACTTCTAAGAAGCTTGACTATTATCAGAGGCATGCCAAGGCCTGTTTTTGAACCATGAGCATCCTGTTTGCATTCAAGTTGGTTATTATAATAACCTTGTGATAGTAAGAATTTGGTGCCCGAGTTTGCCTCTTTTCATTCTTCCCTCCTCAACCCTTTTCCTTTTGTGTTGTGTCTTTCCAGATTGTATACTGAGAGTGGGGAAATATATATATTTCGAAAGCTTCACTGATAAAAAGTATTATTATATATTTATTTAGGCTCCACATTTTTCCCAGACTAGGACTCAAGGTGCCTTTTAGATAAAGTAAAGGCAGCTAAGAGATAAAGGAAACATCTGGAAAGCACTTGAGTTAAAAGAAAGTCAGTAAGACCTTTAAAGGTTTATACTGTATGTGACTAGCTTGCTCCCTGATTTTATTTTGTACATCACCTTGAGACATGAATGGGAAGAGATTAATAATAAATAAATATTTACATGTGGCTACATATTGCCCCACATTAACCGCTGCTATATTTTGTTAAAATGTTGAATTTGAGAATCGTTCAGAAGATCTTGGCCTATAGTCCTATCAAAAGGGAAACAGATATAGCTGAATCCATGGTTCTAAACATACTGAATATTTGGGAGGGGAGAATTAGTACAATTCGGAACTCACAAAGAACCTAACTGAAAGCTTTATGGTGTAATTCTATGCAAGTTTCCTCAGAAGTAAGTCCTACTGAGTTCAATCATGGTGCTTAAAGGTAAAGGGACCCCTGACCATTAGGTCCAGTAATGGATGACTCTGGGGTTTCGGTGCTCATCTCGCTTTATTGGCCAAGGGAGGCAGCGTACAGCTTCCGGTTCATGTGGCCAGCATGACTAAGCCGCTTCTGGCGAACCAGAGCAGCGCATGGAAACCCTGTTTACCTTCCCGCCGGAGCAGCACCTATTTATCTACTTGCACTTTGACGTGCTTTCGAACTGCTAGGTTGGCAGGAGCAGGGATCAAGCAACTTCAAGTAAATACCTGTACCTCCAAGTAAATACACACTGGATTTCAACCCAAGGACCAGTGTGAAACTTCAAACAGGTACACCAAGATGCATCATGCACATGGCAATATAGGAGGTAATATAGGAATCTGTCTTGCACCAAGTAAGACTATTGCTCTATCTAGTATTGGCTACACTGGCTTCCAGTGATTCTCTAGGTTTTCAGACAAGATGTATTCCCAGCCCTTATTGGATTAAGCCCTGGGACCTCTGGCACGGAAAGCATGTGCTCTAGTACTGAGCTATGGCCCTAGCCTGGTACTGATACCATCCACAGGGATATTAACCAACATTAATAATTCTGAAATAGTATATTTCCCCATTCCTATGTTTTATATGGATTTGGCTCACCTGCTTCTGAAACACTTATAGGTAGTAAACATGTGGAATCTTAACTATACTGTGCAGTAAGTTGACCTAATAGGCTCTATTATTCATTAAGCAAAACAACCTTTCTAAAACTGAAGTCAGGTCCAAACACCTTTTTTTGGCACAGAGAAATTTCTAATATTGGATAAGGTGCTTTTAATTAACATCCTTAGCCTTTGTTGTTTTTGCTGCAACAGACTAACATGGCTACCACTCTGGAAACTGCCCATATTCGTGATTACTCCTGCGCATTCCCTAAGCAAAGGACTATAAGGCTGACAGAATAAGCATCTATTAGTCGTGACAGGGATATGATAGGATGCTTGTTTTGAGAGAACAGGGTTGTGCTGATTGTCTGGGTTTGGAAGAGTGTCTAGTACGTTTGCACAGATGTATTAGTACTTGGATAGTTTCCCAGTTCTGTTCTTCGACACACCATGGCAGGAGTGTCACGGAAAAGCCTCAATGCGCAGATGCTTCAAAACACTCAGCTCTCCATCAGTAACACTTTTATGGTGCATAATTGAGCCTGAACTGCAGACTTAAAGAAACCTTCCAGGCCACAGAAACTAAATAATCCTGCTACAGGTCCCAACATAAACACACTTCTTTCCTTTTCATAACAACAACTAGCTAGCTAGCTTAGCTACAGACTACACACACTCCTTCCAAATCTTATACAAGTTCATTCTGCCTAATTATTTCAACATCCATTAACTCTCATGCCTGTATATACAACTTGCATATGCACCAATGCTTTGCCTACATCCCCCCTAAACTCAGCTGAGGAGTAATGTGCAAAGGCTACCCTGCAAGAGGGAAAGAACTGCCACATCACAATTCCGACACCATTTCCTCTACATGCAAATGACAATTCTACAAACAGATTATGTACATTTTCAGAAGAGATTTAGGATTAAAGATGCTATTAAAACAGATCTATACCAATTTGAAGATAGGTGATGGATAATTGTTGCCTTTAAAAAATGTAAAGGGATCAATACAGAACATCAATCAGCATAGTTTAATAGATTTCTTCTACAAACTCATGACAAAAATCCAATGATAAGAAAAATCCAAGTTCAGGCAGGACCTAATACTTTTGGCATTAAAGGGCGATAAAGAAGGTTCCTGCTTCAACATAGCCTTAATACAGAAAAATAAGCAATTTGATTTCTTCCAGAATCTACTATTGCATTCTCCTTGTAATAATGGAGCATTTAACAGCGCAAGCCCTTTTTAAACATATGAACAAGGGTGATACACTTCTTAGTGTATTCTACTCAGCTTTTCGACAAAAATGGCTCAGTACCTATTAGCACATACACACATATATATCCAGTATCTTGCTACAAAACATTGAAAAGATTACTCTCATTTTTTCACTAACTTTTTATTTTCATCTGCTTTCTAACACTAAAGTTCTACATTTATTGGTAGCAAATGTTATTTTTTAAAATTTCTTCTAAATGTAGTGTTCTGCTGCATGATAACTAATCATTATACTACTCTCCACCCTCACCCTGTCACGTTTTGTTTTCCTTTTTAGGAGAAACTACACAGAGCACTGATGTTTTTGTTCTATTATTTCTATACACTGATGTAGAGATTACATAACTACTACTATTATTATTATTATTCTTTTTATATATATTTCAAACAGTCTGCAATTAGGACAACCACATGCAGGGTATATAAACTGTACTCAACATAATGGCCTTAAGCACCATCAATTGTATCATTATAAACAAGCATGAGGGCAATGTAACTGGCCAAGATGATCTAGTTGTGAGAAGGGCGACCTGTTTGTCTGTAGATGTTGTAGATGACTTAAGCCAGAAGTCTTGACAACACACACATTGAAAAAGGGTGCTTGCTTAGTTCTTTACCCACAAACCATGATCTTCTGTTTTGCATGTCACTTTTCCCATCCTCTGTGTAATCAACATCCCATTCATGTTTCTCTGCTCCCCTCTCCCTGATACTAGCCTGCACTACGACACTCTGTGGAAGTGTCTGCATCCTATGCATGTATGTGCCCATGTGCCATCTGGTCCTCCATCCGATGCCTTTTGCAGCACCATCCAGCTAGATGGATCTCATTCGCTGCATCAAATATGTGCAGATTCCTGCATACTCTCCTTTAAAAGATGAGTCTCAAATGGAACCCAACACAGCCTTTCCTCCACTTCAGACACCACCAAAACTATACCACAGAGCTTGGTCAGAGATCAGCATTCCCAAAATAAGAGGTATCAATATGCTCTAGGGAGCCTTGACTCTCTGGGATCGAAAGAGTGCCTCTGAAAACAAGGGGCTTCCCTTAAAATAATGCACACATAGCAAAGCTACCACTCAGGCCCAACCATCTTTCTGTTTCTCCACATCCACTCATTCCGACAGAGGAATCATGTCCAGAGCCTTCCCCTACAAGAGCTGGCGACCCCTCCGGGTTGCACCCGATCTTTTTCTCCCATCTCTCTTGGCCGTCTCGAGAGGCTGAGCCTTGCCCTCTGCTGCCCCATTCCTCTCTCGCACTCCCAGCTCATGCCCAGCCCCACCGGGCACCCCGCAGCAGAGGGTTCCCCAGTTGCACTTCGCCCTTAATCCCCACTCCCTCCAGCCCTGCTCCTCCTCCTCCTCGGCCCTGACAGACCAAGTTGCCCTCGAGCGACCCCTCCCCTCCAGCCCGGCTCAGCCGGTCTGCGCTTCCCACCTGGCGGAGGGTCCGTGCGGCTGCGCGGGGCCCGGTGCGGCGGCTGGAGCCCTGCCCGGAGGGAGCTGTCCTCCGCTGCCTGGTGCTGAAGGCGGCTTGGCAGCCCCGGGCGACGTGGAGGGGCCGGCGGCGGGGCCGGGGGGCAGCTGCCCCTCGGCTCCACCGCCCTCCAGGCTGGCCTCGTTGCCCATGGCGAGGCGGCGGCGGCCGGGATGGGGACGGGCTCCCGGAGCGTCCTCAGCGCAGCGCCTCCTGCGCCGCCATCAGCCTAGCTCCACCATCGCCGCCTGCCCCATCCGCACTGGGCATGCGCTCGCCGGGGCGCGAGCCAGGCACCCACCCCTCCCACAGCTGAGGGAAGGAGCGCGCTCCGTGTGGGCGCGCGCGCGCGCGCACCCCGAGGCCAATGGAGGCTCGCGCAGAGTTCAAGCCCGCCCACCGCGAGCACGTGCGCGGCCCGACCAATGGAAGCGAGCGAACCCTGCTCGTTTCCCTCCCCCCTTCCCGCCAAGCGCGTGCACGAGCAGGGCCGGACGACGAAAACCCGGCGACGAGCAGCTCTTCTGCGGTCGAGGCGAGGCGGCCGAGAGAAAAACCTTCCCCTTCAGAAGGCGCAAAGCCCCGAACGGAACGCCTCGGCGTTCCTTTATTTCCCGACCAATGGGAATTTGCGCTCATTCCCTCCACCGTTTAACTGGCCAATAGGAGCACGCTCTTCCTTACTCCATCCTTCCGCACATGCAGGGCTCGCCTAATGGGAGGCCAGCTTCCCTTGCCTTGCCCTGAAGGTTGCTCTCCATCGCCAGCTTCGCCGCCTTTTCCCTCCCTCCGCTCCCGAGCTGACCAATGGGAGGGTACACCTGCTATTTTTGCACTTGGCCTGTCCAGTGCATTGGAACTGCAGCTGCAAGGATATCAAAGGCAGCCTCCTTATCCTGAAGCCTGGCCCCTTTGCCCAGCCAATGCATTCTTAGTAGGGCTGGGAAAAGGCATGTGCCCATCTTCTGACTGCCATGATGTGTGTGTGTTGAGACATAGACTTGTGTCACTCCCCAGCACAAATAATCAATAAAAGTAGGTAGCAACATCACTATTTCTATGAGGTCAATATATTTCTTCAGGCCAACTATGCATGCCCACATCCAATTAGCAAGAGAGGAAATGATTATAAACCAACTTTTGAGCTGTATAGAACAAAGCATTCCAGAGAAATTCACTTTCATTGCAACCTCTGAATTACTGGTCTGTAATTTTTTATTAATAGTAAGTAAACACTGGGTATTTTTACTGGTACATAGAATTGATACCTTGCTGTCAATAACTATCAGAAACTTTTGACACCAGTTCTAGATGACTCCACTAGGATTGCCATTATCCAAAATTACTAGTTGCCAATAACTGCTAATGGCTAAGAAATATTGATAATTCTTATGAAGTAAGTTTCTGACATCAGTGACAAATAACCATCCCATTCATCATACAACATTAACTTATTTTCAGAAATCCTAAATGTCTCCATTTTTAGAGACTAACACCAGTCAATGGAGCTAAGCAAAAAACGGGGGGAAAGCTCAAAAGTCTGGGAAGTATTGAAGAAGCTGCCATATATCATAGACCTTTATTTCAGCAGAGCATGTTTTAACAATATAATGAAGGAAATTATCAAATGCTTTGCTGAAATCAAGATATATGATACCCACAACATTCCCATGATCTACCAAGCTAGTATTCCTATCAAAAAGAAGATACTGCTGGTCTGTCATAACTTTTTTTTCTTTATTAATCTGTGCAGGCTCCTGTTCATATTCTGTTGGAAGCTGCTCAGAATGTCTGGGGCAACCCATTCAGATGGGCAGAGTATAATAACAATAACACTTTTCTTTTTAGATGCTCCTAGACAGCTTATTAATATGTTTTACATTGAACTTTGGTTGGTACTGAGACCAGGCTGACCAGTCCATATTTTATCATATCTGCCTTTCTCGTCTTTTTGAATATAAGGGTAATATTTGCCCATCTCCAGTCTTCCAGTACCTCAGCAGTTCTCCAAGAATTCTCAAAGATTATATATTGGCAACAGCAGTGATATAATGGCTGCAAGCACCTTTGGGTGCAATTAAGCTGTCCCAAAGTCTTTAATGCATTTAAAGTAGGCTAGGTATTCTCTAATCATATCCTGGTGTATCCTGGATTTCAAATTTCTGCTTCCACTTTTTCCCAGGCCAAATACAATCTCCCTTGAAGGAAGAAACCCAACCAAGGCCAAATAAGAGCTGAGTAGTTCCGTCTTCTCTCTGTTGCCTGCTAACACTTCACCATCTTCCACAATGGGGGATTTTCACCACCCTAGAATCCCCTACTAGCTTCAGATGAAGGATTTTCCTAAGTACTGCAAGCAGGGAACCCATGCCTGTTCCAATCCTGTAAATTACCAGCCCCTGCCAGCTGATGGAATGCACATGTCAAAAACCTGTACTGTATTTAGATGCAAAGACACACTTCTAGCCTAATGCTTAGAAGAGGTGTACATGCCTCTCTAGGGTGGCCAGGTAACAAATATGGCAGGGCTCTGCACCTTTAATAGTTGTGTACATAGAATCATAGAACTGTAGAGGGGGACCCTCTACAGAATCATAGAAGGGACCCTGAGGATCATCTAGTCCAACCCCCTGCAATGCAGGAATATGCAGCTGTCCCATATGGGGATCAAACCTGCGATCTTGATGTTATTGGCACCACGTTCTAACCAACTGAGCTATTACGAGGGAATCTAAGCAGGAGTTCTTTTCTTCTCCCTCACACACAAGGGCCTGCCTCTTCTAAGTTGGTTGTTGCTGTGATTGTCAATGGGTGACAACTGCCAACTGAACACCATCTAAGCAGCAGTAAATAATCCTTTATCATTTTTAAGTGCAGATATATGCAGATTTAATTCACTAATCAGTCAGTTAAAACTCTCATGTTTAATCAGTTAAGATTTCTTTAATGGGATGACAGCCCTAGTATTTGATAATCAATTAATTACTTTTGAAACCTGGTGATTCAGTGACTAACATCATTAATCAGGAGAAAACCACATTTTCACCACATCTAAATATCTTGCCAACAAACTATCCTTCCAATCTCCCGGGATGAAAACTGCCAGCTGAGTATACCTGATGCCACTATTATCAATCATTTTGTCTTTTCTCTAAATTTTTGCTACCTGTATGCATCCAGTGTCAGAAAACTGGATGCATTCTCTGTACTCAAACACGCCTTCTGTGTGAATTGATCCACCTAGCTGCTCTCTTTGCTCATCCAGTTCATTACGGTGTTTTTATTTTTAGCAAAAATAGAAAATCTGGAAGACTGATGATCCAGAGGGAAAGATTGTTCACCAAGGATAATACAGCTCCACTACAAATGAAGATGCTTTGTGTAGTTTAATGCAGAGCTGTTTGTGCTGATTTTTGTGCTGGTACAGCTTCACGGTATCGATCGCTTTTAGTTTGTTGCATTTTCATTTCATTATCTTGTGAACTTCCCAGAGGGAGGACATGGGTCATTTGGGTGGTATCTAAATGCCAATAAATATATATAAATACTAGGCGCTGCCACTCCTGCTTGCCAACCCTATCTACCCCCTTTCCAACTCCCCATCCTTTACACCTCACCTGTCCCCTCACTGCTTGCCCAAAGCCCATCCCCTTTAAAAGGAAGGAGGTACTTCACACAGCACTGTTTGAAGTGCTTTCCCCTGCCAATTAACCTCACAGGGTGTGTGTTTAAAGGAGGGGGAGGTCCTTCACAACATCCAACCCCCTCAGTTCAACAACTCACCTGGGCCACCTGCCATTTGGCATACTGCAAACGGTGAACTATTGGCAATCATACAAACTGCCATGTGATGACAGCCTTACATTTTTATGCATATAGGAAGAAACAAATTTTGTGATGGTATTCACTGGTACAATGTACCATCACCTCTATTCTTCCTGCCACTGGTAGCCATTTTGTGCAGGTACCTATGACACTTTTATCAAGATATGAGCAAAAAAAGCAACAAAAAAGTACACTGCATACAGTCATTGTACAACATTAGTAGGTCTGCCTCAAGATAGCCCTACAAGGTCTGTCTGAATCATAGAAGATCACACCTCCTGACCCAAAGAAGCAGCAGTGAGCATTCCCTAATTTGAAGTGTTTTTTTCAAATAGTATTAGTTTTACATGCAATTTCTGCTAAAGAATTAATATCCAGTTTCCCTGTTGTTCTTGGGAGGTATTTTTCACAAAAGCTGCAAGGCCCTTGGGGGGGGGGATTGGGATAAATCAGGAAGAGCAGTTCAGCAGTAGAACAGACTCAGGAGGTGGTGGACTTACCTTCCTTGGAGGTTTCCAAGCAGAGGTTGGATGGCCATCTGTCATGGATGCTTTAGGTGAGATTCCTGCATTGCAGGAGGTTGGACTAGATGGTCCTCGAGGTCCCTTCCAACCCCACAATTCTATGATTCTAAGTTTTCAGTGGAGAGGGGAAGAAAGAGAAACGGTGGATACAGTTTAAGTCCCTTTCTACAGTAAATATAATAAATACCCACCTATTTCTTATTTAATCATTTTGAATTTATTTTTGTGAATGGGGGGGCAGGAAAAGAAATGGTGGGTGGGTTGTATATGTGTTGCAACAATATCTGTATCAACCATTGGCCTGCATTCACTTATTAAAAGCTGTAGCAGCAGCAACTGTGTTGGGTGGGGTAGGTTTCTCTGAACCATGTGCAATTCAAGCAGAGTAGTTGCAAAAAATAGAGATCTGTTTCCAATACCTCATTTTAGTTTAGAGAAAGAAGTGTTTTGGATAATGAAACGTTAGAATGAAATTTTTTTTAATGGAGTAGGAAAACTGCATGCAATTAGAACAAAATGTATTCCTTACATCTTAAAAGCTTTTTTATTTGTTTAGGTTTTTGGCAATGAATGAGTAAACAAAACCTGATTCAAAAATGTATGTTATGTGGTGTAGCTTATTTTCTAAATGAGAAGTATGGAATCAATCTGGTCTGAAAATCATAAGTGGAAGCTCTTCCCTGGTCCATAGATGTGCAGAGAACAATGGATGTTTTTCAGTGAGAAAACAATGGAACTGTGCCTGTGTAATGGCACAATTTCCTATGTAAGTGCTGTAGAAGTCTTATTGTTAGGGAAACAGCAAGGTTAAAAGATGCAGCCCTACCAAATAAAAATATCACCTGTAGCCACTGCCTCCAGTTGTTGTTGGACTACAACTCCCATCATCCACTCGATAGCTCAGTCGGTAGAACATGAGGCTCTCAGGGTCATAGATTTGAGCCCCACGTTGGGCAAATGATTCCTGCATTGCAGGGGGTTGGACTAGATGACCCTCACGATCCCTTCCAACTCTCCAATTCTGTGACCCCTGGCTATAAGCCATAGTGGCTGGAGCTGATGCAAGTCCAGCAACTTCTAGAGGACATCACATTGACTATCCCCTGGACATAGCAGCATGGACACAAGCATTTCTCTACAAAGAGTGTGCAATCTGTGCTTCTCCTTGTATGTTTTCCTTGTACTTGCACATATAAGCAGGTGAAATTGGTGCATACCTTATCAGATGTGATATGCAATACTCATACCTAGTAAACCAGTGGTTTTCAACCAGTGTGTAGCTGGAGCATATACTTGAACAGTTCTTATAAAGATCCAGCTGTATTTTGTTACTTAGCACACTCACATTGCCATTTTCTCATCTGAAACAGAGCTAACCCCCCAAACTATAATTACTTTCTTTTCTAAGGACAACTTTCTTTTCTAAGGACATCTTGCAGAACCAATAGATGCAGCTTGCACTAATAAGGTGTGCTGGGGGGGGGGAGGGGACTTTGTTGCTACTAGACCTTTACAGAGTAGTTGCTTTTACAACTTACTGCATTGCTCGGTAACAAAGGATAAAAGTTCCAGACCTCATCAATTTTAAGATTGACTGTACAAGCCTACACTCAAAAGTAAGGTCTTTAAGCCTTATTGAGTTACATGGACAGGCAACTCCCAGGTAAGGGTGTATATATCAGATTGCAACCACAAGTACTCAACAAATATCCTACAAGACCTAATAGCTAAAATCCAGAAATAAAAATTATAGACCAGCCCTCTTTGCACAGAATAATCTGTATTTAATTATTTCCTCTTTTTTTCAATCTGACCAGAACAGCCTAAATGCCATCTGGTTCCAAATAAAAATCCACTTGGGGTAAATTGCTATATATTTAACACTTTTGGAAGGCTTCTTTTGTAAATGGAACTGATCAGTAGATTCCAACCTATGACTGGGGGCTACTTCATTGAAAAGGGGAGATCTGAGATATTATTTAAATGGAAGAAATGGCTGGCAGCAACAAATGTTTTCCTGCAGCAGAAGCTAACAAATGTTCTAATTAGCAACCTAGCAGCTCACTGCCCAGGCAGGAAAACATTGATAACTGTGTCTCCAATAATGGCACCCAACAGCACTTAGACGTGCCAAAAGATGCATTTTATGCCCTATATGCCTGTTTCATTTATTTATTGCTTTTCTATACTGCCCATCAGCTAAGTCCCCTGGGTGGTTTACAAGCTTATTAAAAATGCAATCAGAAAAATTTAAACACGGTATAAATAAACAATATATACAATCAGCACAAGAACAGAAAACATAACAGCCAATATAAACACAAGCAGCATAAATAAAATCAATATATAAAACCAGCGGGGGGGGGGAGGAGTTAGTGAAAGAATTTACAAAGCATGCAAAACAGCACTGTTATACTTTAAAGTCCTGAGGGAATAAGAAATGCCTTTATCAGGTGCCAAATGTATTTGTGTTTACCAAATGTGTTTACCAGGTGCCATAATGTAGCACCAGGCAGGAGGATACTACGAAAATGGGTTACAACCTTCTCCCTAGTGGCCACCTATTGCATTTTGGTAGCAAGGAAACTTGGAGAAGGGGTCAAATGAAGAGCTTGAGGATCAATCATGTAGGTATATTTGGAATGTATATACTGTTTTGGGACTATAATTCCCATCACCCCTGACCACTGGTCCTGTTAGCTAGGGATGATGGGAGTTGTCATCCCAAAACAGCTGGATGGCCGAGTTTGGGGATGCCTAGAAAGGAACACACAGATCCCAGCTGCAAGCATTACCACTTCAAGCTATATGAGTGGAGCATCTGAATTTCCCCTTTCTCTTGGGGAGTTCTCACCCTCTATAGAAATAGCTGGAACAGTTCTCATGTGATGGGCTGAGAGTCAAGGCCAAAATATGTTATCATTAAGAGCCTGGCTCCCATCGGCCTGCCTGTAAGTGGTGTTGAAACGTAAGTTATTCTATTTTTAGGTTCCCTGATAAGGAAAGGTTAGCTTGTTAATTCTGTGTTTTGTTTTGTTTTAGAAAGCAGTTCCAACATTTCTTAATCTCTTTTGATCGTTAAATAAATGCACATAATTGAAACCCTGGAGCTGAGCCTGGCTGATTTTATAGCCTAGGTCCTTGTTAGTAGACTTCTGCCTAGGTCCTTGTTAGTAAGCATACTAACATTATTATTATTATTTATTATTATTATTATTCCCCAGCTTTTGTTGGTTGGCAAGCAAAAATATAGGTATAAAAAAGGAGAGTTTCCTAAATGCCAAGATCCAGGTTTGGGGCAAGTCCTCTTTGGTGAGAGAACCCTAGCAGAGATTTAAATCACAGAATATGCAGCAAAGCAAAGTATGGAAATATAGGCTGTGCAGTGTCTCCTGTAAAGTGAGTTCCATAGTTTCCCTCTTCCCCCAGCTCAGGTAAAACACCGTACATTTTGTAAGTTAAAAACTGTTTAAAATCTTCACCTCCAGGTTGGTTATGAGGTTTAAACTAGGAAGCCCTGTAAAAAGGCATGTCTTTCTCCAGAAGTGTAAGCTGGAAACCTGAACTGTCTGTGTATTCAGGCAAAGGACTAAAAATGCACTGCCTTGGAATAGGGAACAAAGGGTGTCACAGCCTGTACTACCTGATAGGGATGGATGGTGCATTAATCCATTTGTCAAAAAGTCCAGCATTCTGCTATATCACAGTGGCTACCTAGCAGGAGAGAAGTTTCATGCAATTGCTCTCTCAGTGAAACAGAGATCCCCGGGCCTAAATTATGCACCGAATCAGACCAGATTATTTTATCACAGTCCCCAGCAGGGTTGAAAATGCATACGATTCTTCTTTTCATAGTACCAATGCCATTCATCCATTTCCTGAAATATCCTGTCCTCTCCTGTGACTAGATTTTCGCCCTCTTTGTTGCTTCTCAGAATGATGAGTAAAACTGCTCCAAGAAAAATATACTTCTTAAATTTTCAATGAATTAATAAATCTTTCTTCACCGGTCTTACTCAAATGATTAAACTGTGCAATTTAAAATGTTCAGGCTGACTTGTCCCTTCTGAGTGTAAGTCACTTATTAATATTAGTGTTATTTTGCAAGTGGGAAGAAAATTATTAAAGCCACTTGTCCATTTGGATTTGCTCGTGACAGAAGTAATTTTTGCTAATGATCAGAGCAAAGATTCCGTCTATAAATCTGAGGCTAACTCTTTTTTTGTGCTCTGGGAAATCAAAGCAATTTGAATGCAGATGCATTCAGGACATACATTTCAGCAGAGGCATATCTCTAAACCTGATCATGAATCTCTGTCCAGAGACTTGTAGTCACTGATGCTTTATCACAAAGTAAAAATAAATAGATTAATGCCTAATGATATTTCCTCCCAATGATTGGCACTCAGTGAGCACATCAGCAAGAGCAGGCACTTAAGACCTGTGGACAACTTACCGTATTTTTCGCTCTATAAGACGCACTTTTCCCCCCCTAAAAAGTAAGGGGAAATGTGTGTGCATCTTATGGAGCGAATGAAGGCTGTGCAGCTTTCACTGAAGCCAGCAGAGCAAGAGCAAGAGCTGTGCAGCACCTCTTGCTGTGCTGGCTTCCCAGCAAAGCGGGAGGAGGAACGGAAGGGAGCCCTTACGGAGCCCCTTCCATCCCTCATCCTGCTTCGCTGGGAAGCCAGCAGACCAAGAGGCCCTGCGCAGCTCTCCCTCTTGGTCTGCTGGGTTCAGCGCCTCTTCAGCGAGGTGGGAGGAGGAAAGGAAGGGGCTCCGTAAGGGCTCCCTTCCTTTCCTTCTCCCGCTTCGCTGAAGAGTGTCGCTTCGTCTCGCCTGCCTTCTCCGATCCCCCCAGCAGGGACAACGCTGCTAGGAGGCCAGCAGATCCAGCTTCCCCAAAGGGGCAGACGGACCAGCAGCTCCTTAGCCTGATCCTCCCTCCTCCTTCCTCTTCAACAACATTTGATTCAGAATATTTTTTTTCTTGTTTTCCTCCTCTAAAAACTAGGTGCGTCTTATGGAGCGAAAAATATGGTGCTTGCCGCCTCTTAGGCTCTTGGTATGATCTGCAAAACTGTTGCTACAATCCTGAAAACCTCAGGTTTTATTTCTTGTAAAGTTCTAGTCCTCATTGTGGGAGAGATATGAACTTGTCAGGACATTTCCAGCATGCTCCTCTGTGCTCCTCCCACCATTCCTAAAAAAGATGGATCATGCTAGGAAATTTGGCAAGATTGCTGGTCTCCCTGGTTAGGTAAATTAGAACTCCATGCTTATTACAAATACTCCTGCAACTATTCAGAGTAAGGTAATGTCTTGGTTGGGAACACGAGGCTGATGCAGATCCTTAAGGAAGTACAGCCAGGATTCTGCTTTCCTCATATGGTCAGAAAGGTGGCTCAAGAACTGGTCATTTCAGAGTATTTTAGAAGTTACACCTCTTCATGTAAGATGCATCCTGTGGTCCCAAACCCACCTCAGCTTTCATTCATGTAGAGAAGCAAAGCGAAAGTGCAAAGAAAATGAATGAACATGAAAACACAAAAACCACTCCTGTAGATGTGTTGTGCAGACACACATACTGCACTGCTTTACAAGGGGGGCGAGGTGCCTAATGAGAGCCGAGAGAACGGCCCAAGGAGCCCCAAAGCTCTTCCCTGTAATTAAAGAACAAACCTGTTGCCTTCCTGCCATGTGAGTTCAACTGCCTCATTAACATCTCTACTGCGCAGCAAGAAATCTACCCTTTGATCAGGGACCTAATTATTTATTTATGATTTTAAAAGAATAATTAGCATAATAAAAAAGTAGAGAGCTGGCAAGGCGGGGGGGCGGGGAACGGGACTGAGCATCTGCTCACGCTTCCGGGGCTTAACACATGTGCAAATGGGGAGCAAAGTCTCTGCGTTCTCCAAGCAGTTGGTCTGGACCACGGTCCCTCCGATGTGTGGGTGGGACTGCTCCAGTCAAGCATATGAGATTCTGCCACACCTATGATAGGAGTCAGAGCTTTAAATATGTATGCAAATGCCCATGTTTGATAGACAGGGCTGGCCCAGGATGTCTTGCCACTTGAGGAAAAACGCCCAGCGTCCCCCTCGCCACAGATGCAGGCGCTACCTGGCCCCATGCACACTGGGTGCATCACAGTGGCCTAGGCACAGAGCAAGAGGCGGTGGTGAGCAGAGAACCTCTTGGATCTGGGTCCGCCAGCTGAGGCAGCAGCCTTACTTTGCCTCATGGGCGGACCAGCCCTTCAAAGAGACATGCCAGCCTGCTTTCCAAATCTAATTCGTTCTATGGGAGAAACAGCTTATGAGGTCCTGAACATGTCTCTGCAGAAAGAAGCCCCATTTAGTTCAGTGGGACTTACTCCCAGGTAAGTGTGCCTGAGTGTATTAATACATCCCCCCCCCCATCATTTTGTCTTTCTCTCTAAACACAAGAGCCCTGCTGGATCCAGTCCAAGGCCTATCTAATCCAGCATCCTGTTTGCCTCTGGGAAGTTCACAAGCAGGATATAAGGGCAGGTCTATACATTTCTACTCAGAAGTGAGTCCCATTGAGCTCAATAAGTGCCTATGAGATTTTGTCAGCCCTATAGACTCCTCATCTCAGTCACTGTGCTGCAGATAACCTGCCCCCTGCCTGCCGCTGGGTTGATTTGATTTATTTGTTAGATTTTATTTCATTAAAATTATATACTGTTTGAATGCATAAAACCACAAAGTGGTTTACATATAAAAGTACAAGGTATAAAGCTGAAAACTTGCGCAGAAATATGTGTGTGCATGGCTATTCCTTAACTGCCTTTTAACTGCACATCACATTGACATTTCCAGTTGATGAACCTTACTGAACCTTTTTAAAATATTGTTATGATTGCTGGCTGTCCAGTAGTTTGGTTACATAAATTGCTCATTCGTAACTCAACATGGGCAGATTGACATATTGCCAATGGGAAATAATTGCTAGGAGATTACTGGAATCCCATCATCATAGACAGCAGTTTTCCAGTTTGGTGGGGCAGGGGGAGGGAGAGAGAGAAAGTATTGGGTAAGCCAAAATCTTACCTTGGGAATGCAGGGCCCTTCTCTGGGAACCTGCTATAAGGCAGCTTCTTTTCATCTTGTTTATTTACCAAACAGTATATACTATATACTGCCCTTTATATTTATCCTAGGGCTGTGTGCACACCATACATTTAAACACCCCCCCCCCTGAATTGTAGTTTATTAAGGAGTCTGCCAATTGTGGCTCAGTGAGGGGTAAACTACAGTTCCCAGGATTCTCTGATGGTACTCAGTGGAAAAATGCAGGGCTTGGGGGCCAATGGAAGAGCTGGTTGATAGGGTACTGGCTGCCTTATAGCACTAGTTACTGTTTGCTTCTACATCTGCCCAACTTGCTTATTTGTAACATGCATATTAAAAAGGTGACAAAAAATATAATCCGTCTCCAGTGCTCTCAACCCAGAGAAACCAAGCTCCTCTCCACCAGGAATCCACCACCCAGGATAGGCTAGTGGGGAACAAGCAACATATTTCAAATACCTTGGGCCTGATTTCCCAGAATATGATTTTGTATGGCCCTTGGCTCTAGACCATCCACCGACCCTAGACCTTGGAAACAAATCCAGCACCAGTGTGGAAACAATTGGTCATTGAACAGACAAATGAGTGGAAGGATGGTTGACAGAAGATTAGGGTGATGGAATGGTGGGTGACACTGGAGTGAGTGATAGGTAAAGAGTGTCTGTTGAGAAGGTCAGTTTGGAAATTATGCAGAGTGTGAGATCAGAGAGCAAAAAGGCTGCTGGTTAGGATACCCGTTGAAGGGAGTCCACCAGAGATCATGTTTCATTTACTTTTATTTATTTGTAGAGCACTTCACAGCGAAAAGTGTAGTGCAGTACAGTAAAATAGAATAAAATACCTTATTTTCCCATGTATTAGATGAGGCTTTCTAACTAAAAAATCATGTCAAAAAACTGGGGTCGTCCTAGGCGGAGACCCACTGAAATCACAGGCGGGAGAAGCCTGTGAACTTGGGATTCGGCTGGCACCCTTTGCGCCTCCCCTACTCGCGGGGAAACCCTGATTTGGGGATCCGGAGCGAAGTGGGGTGAGTGGCGCGGTGCTTCGAATTGACTGCTTCTTTCACGGAGTGAAGCCGCATCGCTGTTGCCGGAGAGCGCTGACTTTTCCTGTGGACAATTGGATTTTAAACAACTACCCGTGAGTAGAACGGAAAATTAGATCCTTAAATTCATTAATTTGGCATCGAAACGGGAAGGTTCTAAACAGGAAGTCCGCCTTCCTTTTTTGTAAACAGATTGAAGCAAAGAAGTTGCAAGTTAAAGCCTTGGAAAGTTTATTTTTGTAAAGGATTAAATCTCCATCGGTTAAAACTATTAAACCCCCCTTGGAAGCAGGAGAAGAGGGGGGAAATTTTGGACCTAGTGAGCCTGCAGGAGAGAGTGAAAATTACCACTGTTCCGAACCTGGAAACGGGCTGCCAGAAAGAGTGACATTTTTGACAGCTAGCAATAAGAGAAATATATTGTTTCCATTGTACTCATCTGCGTTTAAAAAGTAGGAAAAGAAACTATCTTTATAGTTTAAACTGTGTTTGAAAGGATTGATACAAGTGGAGACTGTTTCCCTCTAGAGGGAGCTTTTGAAACTGTTACAAGAGTGGAGCTGGGGTTTCTCCAGTTGCAAGATAAGAACTGTGTGAAATAGAGATCGACCTTGGACTTTAAGAATGTTGACAGAAGGAGCCTTAGTGACTGTATTATGTAAGATAAGCTATTCGTTGGAACAGCTCCACAAGAAGACGGACGCTATGAATACCAAACTTGAGAACTTGGGACAAAAAGTGACTAATTTGGAACAAAAAGTGACCATAAATACAGAAATTGTTCAGGATTTGACACAGGAACCTACCTTGACAGGACAAACTGGGGAGAAGACGAAGGAGAATGTTGGTGTTGTTAAACCTAAAATAATACAAGTGGAAGCCCCAGTTTTACAGAGGCAAACTGAGGACTATAAGTGGAGGCCTTTTATGAATGAATATAGAAAAAGTCAGAATTTGAAGATTGGAGCCCTGTTTGGATTGAAGAAGGAAGGTTGGATAGACTCTTTCATGCAGAGATTTACTGACCTTTGGGTCCTGAATCTGGGTCAGGAGGTGATTGGAGTTGTGGGGGCCTTTGGATCTGGAGGAGCCTTGAAACATGATTTGAGATATTGTATGGACACTGGTTTTAGCTGTGGAGAGTTGGTTGGTCTGTCGAGAGGGAATGGGGGCATGGTTGGGTCGGGGCCCCCCCAAGACCTGCGCTTCAGCACCCTCAGCATCAAAGAATATGAAGAAAAACTGCAGAAGGGACTTGGAAAAGATTTAAGAGCCTCGGACAGAAGATCTCCAGGTTGATGAACTATATGGAATGGACGGAAATGACTGGCAGAATCTGAGACCAGGGAGAAGAGATGGTGGTAGAAGATTGGGAAAGTTTAAAGTTTATATATAGAAATATTGTAAATTTAATGAGTGTTAGAAAATTGTTGGAATGAAATTTTATGGCTTTAGCAGAAATGTTATAAGGAGTTAGGTATAAATAAGTATTTCAGTATTAATGGAAAATAAGGTACAAAATATGTTAAGATATTCATAATGATAAAAATAGAGAAAGATGGAAAGGAATTGCTGAAACAAGTAATAAAAGTGGAATACAAAAAGGGAGGTGAGAGGAGGTCGATGAAATAAGGGAATGAAAGATAGAGTAATGAAATGGTATGATATATGTTTTTAAATT